AAAATCTCCAGGTAGCTCCTGGAAAAAGAGATGCTGTAATTACTAATTACTGCTCATCAATTCTTAGTAGCATTTTTGGAATACAGTTCTGAAACATAGCTTGTACATTTTATTCAAAAAGATGCACAAGTCTGGGGAGCACTTATAGCTCCCCTCAAAATCTTCCTCACTGATTTTGGAGTGACCAGAATTTTCTGATTTTATTGTACGCATTTTCTTGAGGAAAAACTTAACAGATTTCAGTGGTGGTATTTCAAACAACACTGTTAAAATTCTTATGCTCTTGCAAACTATTTTGGTTAGTTTTGCAAAACTGTCCATATTTCTCTGGTGTTTGTGCAGTTCAGCATGTGCATTATGTTGAGCTATTTTCTGTCCTTTCCTCCTTTTCTGATGTTGAAGCTTGTTCATGTGCTTATACACTGTGATTTATGTCATGAGAGGGGTTCCTGCAGTTGTCACTGCTCAAGCGGAAGAGCTCAGTTGTGCAAAAGACTGTGAAACCCTGTTTAGTGTTGTTTAGTTTCTAAGGCATTTCCACCTTTAAGGATAAAAATACATTTTTGTGGGTGCAGAATGAAACCAGGGTGAGCAATCTCCATTACATATTTGTTGCACAAGGCCATTGCTACGAGAGCAACACTATATTATGGGTTTCTGCTCTCGGAGAAGAAACTCACTCTGTTACAAGTGCACGTATTCCCTGGTGCAGGTATCCAGGTAACCATCCTTTCAGATCTATAGGGGCACCGGTGGGCGGCAGTGAGCTTGTTTCTTCATCTGATGAGCAAAATAGTCCCTGGCTGCAGTTACAGTAAATCTGAAGATAAGCATTTAACAAATCCCTCTCAGCCTTTTAGCAAGAATTAATACTTTTTATCTCAGGTTTACCATCGTGGCTGCATAATATAACCCCCCTCTGTCAAATTATATTTTATATTAAACATTTTGAAAAAATGAGGCTAGTGAGAGAGTGAGACAGCACAGCTATTTCTGGGTTTTCATTATAGAATTACGAAGATGAGTTTCTTGGAAGCATCTTTCAAAAAATGATTTTCCGTGACAGATTGCAAACTTATTTTCCTTCTTCTTATTTGTTATGCATTTTAGTTTCCAAACCAATCCATCAATACCCAGATAAAACTGAAATACTGATTCAGAAGATGCCTTGTAGTATGCCTAGCTTATTGCAGAAATTTATTAGTCATTACCAAATAGAATGCATAAATATCATAGTTCAGCCAGAGATATGCAGCCGTTTTGGTCTTAAGAGCAGACTTTATGCTTTCTAATGTTAATAGTGCCTTTCAGAAGGTCCTTAGAGGTAGATAAGTTGTGTATTTATTTCATTATACTTTGGAGAACAGTTTCCAGTATTTCGGATATGCTTTAAAAATACATGAGAAGCACAGTTTGTTTAAAGCAAAACAACACAACAACAAAAACCATCACAGTAAATTAGCACCCAGATGACGATGATGTTGATGCTATTGTTGTCATGGGGATTCTTTGATTAAGAAGTGAAGAAGCATGGTTGTGCACTCAGCCATTCCTGAAGCTGATCGTTTTTGGCTACCTGCATGTACCTTTTACAAGCCGTAGCATGCCTTTTGAAGTATTATACTGAGCAACATAATTTTGAATAAAAACTTTGAATAGTTTCCAAACTCAGGAATCTGTTTACTTTTTAAAATGTTAAACCTTTGAACTGGTGAGCAGCAGGAAAGATAGTGTATTAGGGTGCTTTTCAAGACTGTGAGAGCTAGAGGAGAGCACCTTCTTTCTTGAAGTTAATCATAGAATCATTAAGGTTGGAAAAGACTTCCAAGATCATCTGGTCCAATCATTGCCCTACTACCACTATCACCCATTAAACCATGTCCCCAAGCACCATGTCCAACCTTTCCTTAAACGCCTGCAGGGCCGGTGACTCCACCACCTCCCTGGGCAACCCGTCCCAGTGCCTGACTGCTCTTTCTGAGCAAAAATGTCTCCTCATTGCCAACCTGAACCTCCCCTGCTGCAACTTGAGGCCATTCCCTCTGGTCCTGTCACTGGTTACCTGTGAGAAGAGGCTGACCCCAGCTCTCCACCCCTTCCTTTCAGGTAGTTGTAGAGAGCAATGAGGTCTCCCCTGAGCCTCCTCTTCTCCAGACCAAACACCCCTAGCTCCCCCAGCTGCTCCTCACAGGCCTTGTGCTCCAGGCCCTTCACCAGCTTTGTAGCCCTGCTCTGGACATGCTTCAGGCCCTCGATGTCCTTCTTGCAGTGAGGGGCCCAAAGCCGAACACAGCACTCCAGGTGCGGCCTCACCAGAGCTGAGTACAGGGGGTCAATCACCTCCCTGGTCCTGCTGCCTACGCTATTGCTGATACAAGCCAGGATGCTGCTGGCCTTCTTGGCCACCTGGGCACACTGCTGGCTCATGTTCAGGCAAGCACTGATCAACACCTCCAGATCCTGTTGTATACTTCCTAATACTTGTGGTCTACACCTATACCAGATTATACAAGCCCAGGAGAGAGGCTTAATGGTGGCAGCACTTCTGCGCTGGGCGGGTGGCTGAGCACTGGCCCAGGCTGCCCAGAGAGGCTGGGGGGGCTCCTCCTGGGAGAGCGGCACAAGGCGCCTGCACGGGGCCCTGGGCACCCTGCGCTGGGGGCACTACTGGAGCAGGGCTTGGGACAGGGACCTCCAGAGCTCCCTGACAGCCTCAGCAATGCTGTAATCCTGTGGTACTGGCAGCCTGTTAATTCAGCAAGCCTTCATCCATAGCATGCATGTCTCAATGCAAGTCAACAAGATTCTATGGATACTGAAAATATTTTGAAACCATATGAACAGAATGTGTATTTTCCTCTGGCTAGTAAAACTCAGTCATAAAGTCTTCACAGACGTATAATATGCAGAATCCAACCAACTTGGCAAATAAGATGTTTGTTAAAGCATATTCTGGCTGTATCCCTAAAGTGCGTTTAGACAAAATAGCGCTTTGTTCACGATATTGGACTGGGTGTTGGAGACTCAGGTTTTCTATTCAAGCAGGTTGGAGCAGATTTTTGACTGACCTTTCTAGAGAAGAATGTTAGTACAAAATTTGTCCTTCATACAACATTAATGGTATGAAGAGAGGGGAATTTTGTATTGCCCGATGAAGTATGATGTTCTGAATTAACCAATAAAATCAATTCACATGCTGATTGCTTTTGGAAGGAATTAGTGATTCAGTGGAAGGGAAACAATCTCAGGACTACTGCTTGTTTAATGGGGTTATTCCAGGTTCCTCAGATACTGATTATGAAGCTTGATACTAAGAAATGTCAGGGAAGGGAACTTGATCTGGAGATGTGTACTGTACAAGTACAGTACACAACGTGAGTGCATTTTTTCTGTAATTTGTGCTTTAATCCAGATTAGGTGCAGGAGTTAATACCGTCTTAATAATGATGTTGTGATTTAAAAGCTTACTGTATGGCTAATTTTGCCAGTAGTTGTTTATGCATCCATACTATGCATAAGAGGCAACTAAATTAGTGAGTCTTATAATTTTGTGTTATCTTTCTCTTCTCAGATAGGTCTCTGATGCTGCCACGTGCCTTGTACCATGCATCAATTCTGTTACACTGAACTGTTCTTTGTTTCTGTCTTACATTTATCCTTTACACATATTTTTTTACAAAATTATTTTTGTTCTTTTTGTGTGTGTGTGTGTGTGTTTTGGCATCTTTTCATTAATCTTCCTAGTTTCTTCCTTCTGTCTCTCTGCCCCAGTCTTTGACATCTATTATATTCATCAGAAATTTACATCTTAGTTGAAAGTTTCATCATACATACAAAGCATCACATGGAATCACATGGGTTCATCTGTAGGAGTTCATAGTAAATGCACTGGAAAGAAATTTCATTGCAACTCCATTTGCCACTGTGCATGTGTTGAAAATTATGTTAAAATGTAACAGGAATGCAAAGGAAAACTCTTCAGTTGCTCTTGACATTGTCTGATTGCTACACATGCCCAATTATTATTTGGCTAAATTTCTGCCAATTGAAAATAGACAAGAAAACATTAAATTTCAGAATCTTTTACTGTACAGTAAATGTGAATGCTAGTTATGAAGTGTAGTTAATTTACTTGAGTGAATGTCATTTACTGTGAGGAAGTCATGCGGAATCACCAGCACCAGAGTTCAGTTTTACAAGTTGGCTACACATTAAGCATTTAATTAAACATACGTATATAAACAACTCATGAAATGAACTATAGAAAATTCCCATCCCAAAGGCTCCAAAGAATTCACAAGTGAAAGTCTTAAGTTTTTATTCTGTTTTTATAGAAGACCATGTTCAGTCAGGGAATATAATTCTAAATCTTCTTAATTTTATAACATTTTAAAACATCTGATTGTTTATAGCATTGATTTATTTTATCTCCCACATCTGGTTTCAACAGACTTATGTTATTGTCAGACTAAAGTAATGTACCACATGATGGAATGGCACTGGTATATAACCAGAAAAAAGCAAAGAAATATATAACTTTTTGTTTCTTAATGTTTTAATATGATTGTAAACATGTGCAACCACCTCAGTTCTCTATATTCTGTATAAATAGTTATCCCAGAATTGTTAGATGATGTTAAAATACCTGAAAAACAGTATAAAACATCCAAAATAAAAGATGCTACATTTTAATGTTTTCCTAGTATATATCAATGTCTGCAATATTTTTTTTTCCTGTTAATACAAGACACCAGAACTGATTTTTTTCTCTCTCTCCGTTCTGTGTAACAGTTACAAGATAAAAGTCCAGCTCATGAATATAAAGCACTGTTAAGACAATCGCCTGTCACTCTTCATGATCACTACTTCTGTGTATCTTATTGATTCTTATGAAAATTTGGGAAGTTTTGCAAAGTATCTGCAGATTCTTTTTCAGCAGGATTTCATGAGAAACGTAATAAATATTTCTCTCCAACACTGTTTTTTTTGTTTTCGAAAAGTGTGCAGTTCGTGCAGCCACAGAAGGCAGAATCCTTGTGCTGGAAGGTCTGGAGAAGGCTGAGCGGAACGTCTTGCCGGTGCTAAACAATTTGCTGGAGAACAGGGAAATGCAGCTTGAAGATGGTCGCTTTCTCATGTCTGCAGAACGTTATGACAAACTTCTGCAGGTAGGGAAATGTCATTTGGATTTTCTATTTTTGTTTTCCTGCGCTGTTATGAAGGGGATAACAGTTACAAACGAAACGCATGAAATCAGACCCGGTGTGTATATGGGATGAGATCGAAAGGCTGAAAGCTATGTGAGAAGCCAAATATTCCTTTACGAGTTGCAATTAAAAGATTGTTCTAATCTGTGTCCCCTCTGTCCACATGAAAAGCAGTCATCTGTGTTAATATTGTGTGAAGAATGTATGCTTCTTAAATGCAAAAGCCACTGGGAGTAAAGAGAATAGAGCTGTAAAAAGAGATTGCAGTTGAAAGCGTCCCCACGAAGTTCAGAAAATGCTTCAACATTGCTAAGCTTGTTGCTAAGCTTTTAAAATGTTAGAATAACAAAAAGAGAGGTCAATATGGGCAACACTATAATCCTCAATGCTGTCTCACCTTTAATTTAGTGAAGTATGCATGAACAGCCAATCCAAATTACAGGGAATGGTTAGTGAATTTTCTTTTGATAGGATTTTAGTGTCTGCTGCTGTTGCTACTTTAGCCATTTTCATTTTCTTCAGGCTTTTAGTCCCACTGCTTAAATTTGAGTGGATACTTTTCAGTCTTTTGGGGGGCCTCAGTGCATGTCATCAGAAAGTTTCCACCAGTACACTGTATCTTACTTTCTCTTTGCTGTAGTTTCCAGTCACGTGCCTGTTGGTCTGCTGTAACAGTCTGAACTCTTCTCACTCATGTTTCTGTCTATCATACATAACTGTGGTTAAGTATATGATTCAGACCCAGGTGAAATAAAAGGAAAATTTGCAATAAGCCTTCTCGTTGATCTTGATTACATGAACTAGCCTACGATGCTGTTAGTATTGTAGCAGATTTCTGAAAATATACTGATATTTCTTATACATCTCATCTCTGGTTACAAGTCTGATCTGTGCCTTTTCTGAAAACAATTTGAAGTATTTATTCAGTAGATAAAATTGTTGGAAGCATTATTATTGAATTTGAAAATGAGCTTTTAAAATGTGATCAAGACTGAAAATGAGAATTCAGATTCAGACAGGACTTGTTTGCAGTTATGCAAAGCATCTTCCTCTTTTTTTTTTTTCCTTTTTAACACTTTCCTAATGATAAAATGTTTCAAAATGAGTGCCTCAGGCATACTGCTAATAGATGAATTAAATAAATCTCTTGCTATAATACTAAATCTAATATTGTTGGTTTGTTGTTTGGAGAATATGATATTATATAAGCTAATGTTCATTTTCTCTTCTCCTATGTGAATAATTACTAAATAACTGGATCTGCAGGAAGTTTCAAGGAAGACTTGACTGTGATGCAGAAAGGCTAAACGGTGCATTTTTTGTATGCATTAAATCTTTTATAAGACAACAGCTGAAATAAACAACATCAAATTCTTATGAAGGAGCCTAGTGATAGTTCTGGTTTTGTTATTGCTTACAATAAAGCATATTTTTAAAATGCAACCTTTTTATGCAAATTATAGTTTTTTTTTTTTTTTTTTTTTTGTTTTTTTTTTTCTTGAGGGGGATATGGTAATGCACTTCTAGTGTATCAGAATAAAATAACTGTTTTCATCTGTTGGTTTTCTGTTTTTTTGTGAAAGCAAGGCTGTAAAATTTCTTCTGAACTTTGACTATCTGTAGAGTCCATGATCAAAGTGCTATCAGCCTGAAAGCTGCACCTAATCAAACATTCTGCCTACATTTGTCTTGGAGAACCTTGCTTTTACGATCCACAAATCAGAATGGTTTAGTGCTTTTGAGACCCTCTGAATGAAAGAAGAGAACAATACCACATTCAGCTTGAAGGACCAGGATTGTTAGTTCATTTGCAGCTTAATCTTGAGGAGTATTTAATGATGTATTTTTTTTTCTTCCTGTTGCTTTATTTTAATTTAGGAACACACAAAATCAGAGTTAGATGCATGGAAGATTGTTCGGGTTAGTGAAGATTTTCGAGTAATAGCGTTGGGTCTGCCAGTACCTAAATATTCTGGTAACCCTTTGGATCCTCCCCTTCGCTCTAGATTTCAAGCTAGAGATGTTTATCATCTGCCCTTCAAGGTAAGTGTCCTAACAGAAAAGTTGGATTATCTGTACTGAGTAGAGCTAATATTTTGACGTTATTTTACTTAGCTCACCTCTGAAAAGAATCCCTAAATAATAAATTTATCTTAAATGGCATTTTTCATACTGCTACCTAATAAATTCCTGAAAAGCAGGCTTCAAGTTGCCAAGGAATGCTGCAGCAGAAAAATAACTTCCATAAAACAATAAGAAAGAAAGATTTAATAATATTTCTTTTCGTTTGTAAAATTAATTCTCTGCCCAGGAATGAGTAGACTGTTGATATCTAAATTAGAGAAAAAACAGAATATGTCTCATACATCATGAGCTATGACCCGCAGTATGACCCCAAAATGAATTTACCGTATGATCTTATGTTCTATTTTCAGGACCATCTTCAACTATTATATTCAATTGGATCAAACATTTCTGCAGAGAGGTAATTTTTCATAATTAAAAGAAAAAAAAAATTAATGAAGAAATGTGGTGTTCTTTCAGGATTCCTTGCTATTTTTGTAACCTCTGTCACTACTTAGAGACCAGAACTGAACAAGTTTTTAATATGTGTGAGTGTATGTTCAAACAGCTTTTTATATGCAGCCTACATATAATGAATTCTTAATGCTTTAGAACTTCGATCACACATTACTTATTTGTGCTCAGAGATTCAGCTTCTTATACCGATCTTATACTGTATTTAACTTTTTAGGCTTTAGTATTTTAAATATAGATGGCATGTATAAAACTCTGTAATTATTTTTTCCTTTGCAGAATTTCTCAGCTCCTGTCTTTTGCTACAACTCTCTGCTCTCAAGAATCTTCTACATTGGGACTTCCAGATTTTCCTTTAGACAGCTTATCGGCTGCAGTTCAGATTTTGGTATGTGCATACACATGTGCTGTGAAAATGAATGAGCTTAAGATTTCTTAGAATTAGAACTGGATTATTCATGTTGTTGGAAGAAGATTAACGAGAACATTTAAAACAAAAAAAAATGGTTTGTGGGATAATACTTTAAGCAAGTATGTAGCATAATATTGTAGGACAAAGTATGGCATAACACAAGATTTTTGAAATGATGGAGTACATCTGAGCATTCAAAATAATGTTTTTATTCTGCTTGATCAACTAATGTGACTTCAGGAGCATTTACAGTATATCTGATGACAGTGAGGTTGTCATCTAAGCCCCCCTTTTAGTCAGTGTAGAGGAATAAGCACTTTTAGTCAGTGTAGAGGAATAAGCACTTTTAGGCAGTGCTTTCTCTGGTTTACTAGTATGGGTGTAAATCATAATGACTCCATTCATTACAAGGACACCGACTACCCTCCTGTAACACCTAAAAGGACCAACTAGTTCCAATGTGGGTACACCTCTGTCTGAGACAGTTAAGTAGTAAGAGATAAATCCCATGTTAGGTCTTCAGGTTAGCTGGTGGATTTAGACTAAACGTAGACATGGGGGTTATCTGAAGATGCATGCTGTGCATACTTGAAGATACGATACTTCCTGACAGCTATGCTCCAGAGGGAAATATAACGACTGTACACTTCCCAGCTTCATGGTGGCAGATGCATTGGGTCAGGCCTAAAGCTATGGCAGTCTGTCTGCTTTCCCTGAGAGCCTGTTGTCCCTTGGTCTTTGTAATTGCTTGGTAAAAAGTTACAGTGAAAAAAGGTGACTCCTGAGGGAAGTCAGGGAGATGAGATCTGATAAAGAAAGAGAAGGGCAGGTACACTTTTGTTTGCAGGAAGATGTGGTCAACCCAGTAGGGTGAAATACCAGGACAGCTTCTCAAACCTCCTCTCCAAGGTGCAAGCATCTGTTGTATTTTCTGTGCAATCATCTTACCTGTGGTACTGCAGAGTGGCAGTTTACTCCTACATCTTTTATTGGATTATACACATTAAAAGATGTCACTTGCTTGTATTACTGTTGTGCTCAGTACCCTCAGCTGTGATCTAGAAAGACATTGTGCCTGGTACTTACAGACCTAATTTTTGTCTGAATTAGTGATATTGCATCAAATAGTATGAGGTGATTAAGATTCAAGTTTAGAGAAGCGAAACAGTATTTGAAGGGCTTTTGGAAAGAAATACATGATGTATTTTAAAATAAATTGCAACTTTTTATTCTTTGAGCCCTGTAGTGAAAAATTATTTTTAAATGAATGCCAGATGGCTTTCAGAGTAATGGAAAGAAAATGAGCCGTAAGCTATTATCTAAACTATGGAATGAAGGAAGCATTTTATTTTACATTAGAGAATGTGAAATGTTATCATTGTATGACAGTGTCTTTTTTGGATAGACCAGAGCTGTTTCTTTTAGAATTAGTTTTAATCACTCAGTTTTCTAAGCCAACTGTTCTCACTGATTCTAGCTAGAGTGTTTTTCCATCACACCGGGTCACTGTCATCCTCCACTTTTAGCTAGGTTGACTTAACCATATAGCAGTGTGGAATGAATACATTGTAAAGATTGTCTCCTTCTGTTATGGATTCATGTTGTCCAAAAACGTGTTTCCTAAGTTGAAAACTCCTGCCTACTGGAAGGCAGAGTTTTTTATAGGGTGCTCTTCTGAAGAGGCTAATTTTGGATGTGCCACTGTAATCATTAATTTGAGGTAATGTGGACAAATTATGTGTTATGTTTTATATCTATATAAAGCGCTTTTAAAATGTAATAGCGGGCTCTCTGATCCTTCAGGCAGCACATTTGCTACAACGCCCTTAAATCATTTATTTTTACTAATGCTTTTTTAATATGGAACATTATAAATAGTATTACTGATTGTAAGTATGAATTGAATTATGCATTTCATAAAATATGCATCTCCTTATTTTATTTCTGAGCAACTCTTCTCCTCTTTGGTTGAATGTTTGTATAATCCAAGTTTGTAATTGAAAATTGGTTGATTTTATTTGAGTTACAATACTTATTTCAGTCCACTGACTAACTGTTTTTCCACTGGTGTTGCCCACATTTAGTCCTTAACAATTTTCAAGTCTTCTGGAAAACAAATGGTCAGGCATTACTTCAGCAATTTTGAAACACCTTTTTCCACCATGAAAGGATTTGTGTGTATGTTTCTTGACTATTCATTTACTTCCATATTCATATACTTCCATTTCTTTCGCTATTACTGTGGCAAAATAACTGGAATATTTGTCTAGTTCAGTTAACAGGCAGAAGAATTGCTACTTATGATGAACAAGGAGGTGTGAAACATTGTTTTCAGTTTTTTATGCAAGCCTACTTTGTAACTCACTTCAAAGCAAACCAAATTTTGATCAATGGTTCAGAATTTTCTAGGAATTGATTCGTTAAGCAGAATCTGTACAGTATAATTGAATTAGAATTCAATACTAGAAATTGCTGTGAATGAGTAGATCATTACTGTAATACAGATTTCTTGTCATACAGAATCTTGTCTAGTGATACTATGAAACTCAGTTATATGTGGTGGGATTTGTTACTCCTAATCTGAAATGACTTTACATATCTGAGCTAATCACTATAGCTTCCATTTATGAACAGAAGAGAAAGTAATTTTTGGGTCATAGTTTATCTAACCTATTTTAGACATTTACGTTATGAATTGAACATACAAAATGCCTACGTTGACATCTGAGCAACTACAGGATGTGGTGGTCATTTGTTTATTGCCCTTAGATTTTTATTTTAAGTTTAGCACTATATTGGATTTTGAGGTTAATAGCTGATAAAGAACGAGCCAATCTTTTTTCTTTTTGTTTGTATTTTTAATTTGAATTAGGATTCCTTTCCTATGATGTCAGTCCAGCATGTTATTGAACGGCTTTACCCCTATGATGTTTTCCTTGGAAAGGAAGGCAGGACTGCAGTCAAAGATGCACTAAAAGTAAGTATTGCATATTGTAATTCCAGGAAAAGATGGATTATGACAGTTGTTCTCCTGACTAATGCTTCTTCATTAGCTCAGTTTGAAAAAACAAAAGAAACAAACAAAAACAAGTAATCTAAATGGTTACATTATTGCTGATGCTAATTTAAAAAGAAAAAACAAAAAAAAACAAAAACAAGGCAAACAAAAAAACATAAGCTCATAGATTCCATTATAGTGATAGGTGAACTCTCAATGTTGTATAGAATATTTAGACCTCAGTTAAAGACTACATAAAACCTGCTATTACAGAAGTGCTTGTTTAATTTGAAAGTAGCTACTTACATGGTTAAGGTAGTCAAATGCTTAAAAAATGCCTTTTGCCTGTGACCTTTATGAGGAGATAATAAAATAAAAAAAAGAGATGATGTGACAAAAAACGCATTTCGTATAGCATGGTTAAAGGTTATATTGTCTGGTTTTAGTCTGTATTAGCCTTTTACTGCTTGTTTTTGGTCAGATGTTGTGTTGTTTTGGCCATGCTTGATAATAATAGCTTATCAAATGTGATTAGGCTGGGTTTTTCTATTCCTTCTTTCAAAAATTTAGCAAATTTTTGAATGCATTGTAAGGAGTTACTGCAAATTAACATTTGCAGCCTAGAGCATCTTACCCATTTTTTTCAGTCATGAAAAATTGAAGTTATTTGTACCTGCATATTTAGAAATGCTTGACTTAGTAGTCTTAGTAGCTTAGTAGCTGTTTTTCCTGAAACCATGCCTATGTGTCAGGGAAATGATTGTAGTCTCTCCCTGCTGCCATTTCCTGAATACTGCCTTTTGGCATGGGAGCTTAGTTCTATGTTCCCTGTGTAGCCAGGCTGATTTGCTCATTTTCATGAGTTTCGGGATGGACAGTCCTTGCGTTTGAAGGAGATCCTGCTAGTTTTCACAGGCCTTCAGAGCCCTTCCCTGTGGGATCATACCTGCCACTTCCCTGAACAAGCCGGTCTCGTTTCCTGAAATGCAGGATCTGCTCCTTGTTTGTGATTAGCAGAGCCATCTGTGCATCACTGTGCATGGCCACTGCAGCACCTGTGTTAAGAAGCTATTCCAGGAAACCTTCAGAAATCTTGATTGAGTGTGTCATGTGGTGTTGCCCGTCCAGCACATTTCAGGGTGAATGAAATTGCCTGCAAGAACCAAGATCTGGATGGAAATGCAGATTTCTGTCCGTTAACAAAGCAGTAACAGTCACTCCTGTTCTCAGTATGCCTTTATTTTACATTTTTTGTGTTATGTTTCCTCTATCAATTATACATAGTCTTAATATTCTGTACCATCAGCCTCTTTCGTTTTCCATTACTTTTAATGAATTTTGTGTTGCGTGTGCTTTTGCTTCCATTGTAAGACAGGTGGATTTGAATAGTAAAATCTTCTTCAGTGACTGTCTACTGTTAAACACCTCCTTATCACTTGAACATCTCTGTGTTAATTTTCATTTTTTTGGATATTCTTCCTCAGCATTAGTTTTACAAGCTTGTCCCTTTATATCACCATGTCCATATAATCTTGCTTGGAATATTATTCTATTTGCACACAACATATAGCGCTAAGCAGAGAATCTTAAAAAATGCAGAAAATAGCTGGTTGTACTGAGGAACTCCTGTTTATAATGATATTTTAGCAGTAGCAGTGCCAGAACTGTATTAAACATGAATAAGAAATGATTTTTTCCATCCCACAAGAAATGTAAGGGAGAGGAGTCTGGCAGAAGCAAGGTGATTTATTATTCTACCCTCCTACAGATTTCCAAAAAGCATCCAGCTAATGTTTGCCACTGAAAACTGTTTTTTCTGTGTAACAGGATACAGTTAGGGAATATTAATTTTAGCTAGGAAGGATTGAGGGTTGAAAAATGGTATACTTGAAATATATTTGCAGTTGATAAGTTGATTTGTGAGGATTGAATCAGTGTTTAACATTAACTAATGTTTAAAGAAAACAAAAACAAATTTCATATAGTAAAATGTAAAGTTTAGACATCTGAATTGGAGACAGACATGGAGAAATAGTGATCTCCCTGATAATGAATCTTATTTTCAGGATATCGCCTGTTTCAGTCAGCAGCCAAAGATGAGAAGTGAGGTAGATGGCAGTTAGGCTAAACAGCTACTTTTGGCAGCTGTTAGAACCTGCGTATGTTTCTGGAAGATTTTCTATCCACCACACACTGTCTTCCCAACCAAAATCTTCATCTTAGGTAAATCTTTTCCATATATGCCTTCTTGTTCACTGGGACTCCACCACGTACTGGGTATTTCTCATAATTCTTACTCTTGATTGTCAATTAATATGAACTATTGACTTACACCTTCCCTGCGATTAAAATTAATTTGTTACAGAATTAGTCTTGGAAGCATAAAGATCCTTTGAAATGCAAATCTCTTGTTGAGTGGATCTAGATGGAGTTAAACTTGTCTTAGGTTTAATTCAGTCTATCTGTCTGCCAACTTTTTTGTATAATATAAATGTGGCTCCTTGTGCCAAACTAGTTCGCGTTGAATAAAGTGTTCCTTGATTGCACACTAATCCAGCATCAGCAGCGATCATGAGAGCTGCTTATAAAGGTCGTTTGTACAAGGACTGTAGTTGGCAACATTCGTTATTCATTAGATTATTAATTTGTGATAAACAGGACAAATGTACCGAAACAGACTTGAGAATGATGTGCCTTTGGGTACCCATATATGAAGTCACTGCATTTGGGAAACTGTATCAATTTATATTCTGAAAGAAGATTTTAAATGAAGGAGCTCTTGCAAAGGAAAGCATGACTTGATTTGAATTCTGGCCTTTAAAAATTATTCTATACATGAAATACTGGCATGACAAATTATTTTGACTGACAGATGAACATTTGAAATGCAATTCTAAGAAATAAGTCAAGAAGTTATATAACCTAAGCTTTTCCTTTAGAAGATTTAGATGTTGATAAATCACCAACTTCAAGGAAAACAGCCTTCAGTGAAACATTCCTGAACAGTGAGCTTAAGTACATATGATGGTCTCTCACAGTCATGAAGTTTTCTTCCCTAGGTGCGATTATTTATAGGCATTTATAGAATTGGTCATCTGTATGGCAGTTGAGCTGGGTGGCTCACAAGAGGCTGCAGCTGTTCTGTGTTCATTTCTTCATTGTTCAGTAAGCTTTCAGTATTTTACTTCAGGTTCATCTGAGATTCGGGTTTTGCCTTTTTAATTCTCACGTGCCTTTTGCAGGCTTGCTTTTTTACAGTATTGGAAACATCCACTGTTTTATTTTATTTTTTAAAAACTTCTAATGAAGAGAATCCTATTAGATTTCAGAAACAACACATAGATCGGATTTGTCTTAATAACTGAGCAGCAGATCCCTTTTAGTTTACTGTCCAAGTGTTTAACTTAGCTCTAAGAACCATCTAGAATTTTTCTTCATGGTTTCATGTAGTGATTAACTTTGCATTTAGTGTCTTTTTCTTATATCAGGTATGAGCTTGTTTATTCCCTTTGACTCGTTTGTTTTTTTTTCTTTTTCGTTTTTCTTTTTTGTTTTTTTTTGTTTTGTTTGCACACCCTCTTTAATGTTGCCTGACCTCTTCCTCTAAATCTGTTTCCCTGCTTCACAGTAGGGAACCCCTTCAAAGTACATAGGTACTCTCTCATGGAGAGTGGACTAATCCTTCAGAAACTTGGAATTGTTTTCCTTGTTCTGCTCAGTCTACGATCTTTCTGTTGCAAATTGTGGTCTAAGGAAGGAATTGTTTCTGTTCTATCCCTTTTCGATGACAAGCCCCTCTCCTCCCCCAGTCATTTATAATCTTTGGGTTTTTGCATTAATGAATGCTCTTGGTGCCAATACATACCATTGCAGTGGAATCTCTGCCTTCAGACTTTCCCCATCTATCCTATCTTATGCTTGCAGTTCAGAGTTTGCTTGTAAAACAGTTCAGTCTCCTTCTTGCTTGAAAAAACCTTTTTCCCTCCGGTGAAGAGAATCTTCAGCAAAGATCAGTTGCTTCTGGATGCCTGCACATCTCTTTTTGAACAGCTTTGCTGTCCTGTGGGTTCAACAGAGTGGCTATCTGCAAATATGTCTCATTTAACCTCTCTGTTCCTTTGACCAGGTGGAGCACCAGAGTATTCTTTGCAGTTTCCCTCCTGAGACAGTACTGATCACTAGATGCTTCCAAGAGTTCAGAACTCCTCTTATTCCTTGTTTTGATTTTCGTGGCATGCCTGTTCTCATATGTTTCTAGGCATGCAGAATGTGGCCTGATGGTTATGGAGTGCCAAACCTCTTCTCTTGTTTTAGGTGGATAGTTTGTTCTTTTTTTTTCTTTCCTCTTGAGTCTGAGGCAATGCGGCTGCCCATTTCTGGTTCTCCAAGTAAGTGTATCCCAAACTTACTGATACTGAATGTACTCAATAGTTGTCCTTCCAAGCCACAAACATTTTTTCCTTTGCAACTATCAACTTGGATTCTATATAGAGGAAGTCATTTCCGGCTCAGACAAACTCGATGTGCTGTACATCCATTTCATGCCACTTTCTGATTCCATATCTAGCTATTGTAATTCTAAAAGAACTACAGCAGAGCTCTGTCATATCCTGAAAGCCACAAAGAGTTGTCTTGTTTGTTTGCTTCTCCTGTCCAGGTGTAAATGTGGTAATTTATTTAATTACTAAATTATCCAGTTCAGCAGCATTTCTGTGATAAAAAGTGATGATTAAAATGTGTCACACAAATTCAGTAAAAATCTGCAGAGATTGACAGCTATCTTTCAATTTTCGACCCTGCTTTGGGGTCTGAAAGATGAGCTGTAGGAGCCTCAACAACATTAATAAATACATTAAATCACCTTCAGAATTTTAGACTCCCAAGACCTGCTACTGCTGTCTCCACATCATCACTGATTGACACAGAGGCTGCTGATACAGATAACCTTACTGCTTGCTCAGTTATTTTCTTCTGTTGGTATCTGAGTAGGGGATTTTAGCGTACAGTTTGTGGTTTTGTGTACAAGCAGATTTGACCCTATCCAAAATGCCATTTAATTACCAAGAATATTAAAATTTCCTAATGAACGTGAGAGTGAGAACATCCGTAGTTCATTTAACAGAATCATAGTTTGGGCATTTCTTCGAATCACAGGATGAGGTACTACTATGATTCAGACATTCGTTTTTGCTGCTGCTGTATAAATATTTAATGGCATCTGAAGCTGTTATACTAAAAATACAGTTTGGGGCAGTCTTTCGCTAAAGTAAATGTACCTTAAACTCAAGTTTAAACTTGAAATTTATATCGGCTTTTGCTCCAGAGTGGAAATTTACAAACTGATGAAGAGCCAAAGTGTCTGTATGAATGCATTTCAGTTTTCTTTCTAAACTTTAATAGGCAGTGCTGTGAATACTAGTAGTAATAAAACCACATACTTTTTAAGAATTATTTCACTTTAGTGACTTCTGTTTAACTTTTCTTCTAAGGAGTTGGACTGATACTCCTTTTTCTCCTGTTGATTCAGCTTTCACTCTGTTGAATAAAAAGGCACCATGACTTCAGTAGTTTTAGTGGGGTATTTTGGTGCTTGAGCCCCCCTGATAATGACTTCCCCTTCGCAACAAAGTAGACTTTTTATAGGATTTTTTAAATGGTTTTCATGCTTTCTCTATACAGCATAAAATACAGTACAATGCTCAAAAGGAGATTGGGAAGACAAAAGTCCATTTCTTTATCTTTGTTATACCAAGAACATGCTGTGAAGGCTTAATTTGTACAGGTTATCCTCAGTTTTTGCCATGTGATAAGGCTGCGGGGCTACATAAATGTAATGTTTGATGGTTATTTTTATTGGCATCCAGAAATTGAAATCTGCAGTTGGTTATAATGGCCTGCAAAGGTAGGTGTTCTATTATTGCATTTGCTAAAGTCTATCATCCATTTCTCTTATAATTTCAGTCTGAATAAGACTGCAAAGTCTCTGTATGTCATTTTAAATTTACATCTGTCATTACAGTCAGAATAAGTAAATGGTAGGTCTTTTTGATTCGGTTTTAATGAATATATAAAATATATAGGCTGTCAAGAAAGTGAACACAGGTACATGAAGTAAAGTGAAGTTTAAGTAAATGGATTTAGGACTTCACAGGAAATTAATATTATGTTTCTGACCCTGTTATTGGAAGTACCAGTTTTAAAAAAGAAAATTGTATTTAATAATTAATACCTCCAAACCCCTATTTTTACAGCGTTTTGAGCTTCAAGACTCAAAAAGCCATTTGCGCCCAAGAAGGATTACAAAAGTAGAAAGTGTGCCAGGAAACAAACCCTTCAAGGCTGATGTAACTGTCCAGATCGGTGACAAGGAAGTGACATTCCAGGTAAGAATTCATACATTCATAAAACTCTATTTTGCTGTCATAAACTTACTCAAGAATTTAACACTTACACTTGATACTGAAACTCATTTGCACTGAATATTTGATTTTTGGTAGTGTAACATTTTATTTCATTTTATACGTGCCCTTGTGTCCAAGAAGGCCAATGGTATCCTTGGGGTGCCTTAGAAAGAGTATTGGCAGCCAGACAAGAGTTATCCTCCCACTTCTGCTCAGCCCTGGTGAGGCCACACCTGGAGTACTTTGTCCAGTTCTGGGCTCCCCAGTCCAAGAGGGACATGGAGCCACAGGAGAGAGTCCAGCTGAGGGCTATGGAGATGATTAGGGGACTGGAGCATCTTTCTTATGAGGAAAGGCTGTGAGAGCTGGGCCTGGTTAGCCTGGAGAAGAGAAGACTGAGAAGGGATTTTATCAGTGTATAAAACTCTTCAGTCTGAAGAGATGGTGTCAAGATGATGGGGTCGGACTGGTGCCCAGTGTTAGGACTGTTAGCAATGTGCACAAACTCAAACACAGAAAGTTCCATTTGAATATGAGGAAAAACATAGTTACCGTGAGGGTGATGGCGCACTGGAACAGGTTGCCCAGAGTGGTTGTAGAATTTCCTTTTCTTGAGATACTCAAAACTTGCCTGGACATGATGCTGTGCATGCTTGAGCAGGTGGGTTTGACTAGATGATCTCAAGAGGTCCCTTCCAACTTCAACCATTCTCTGATTTTATGATTTATTAGAGCATGTTGATAAGCAATAAGATTATGGATAAGAAATATTTTATTTTTATATAAATGAGTCACATGTAGGAAAGTACAAGTTTAAGTATATCATGATAAAGCAAGTGCTGAAAAATGGATGAAAGGAAAATCTCTAATGCAATAAAAAAGCAAGAAATTTAGAATAATAGAATACTTGTGATGCTCTTGGTGCTGCTTTCCCTTTTTTCTTTAATATAGCAATAGTCTGTCTATACTTCAAATAAAATCTAATGAGTGCTTGGTAATGTTCTGACACAGGATGTTGGGAAAATGGAACAAAAGTAATCACATCAAATATGATTAGTTTGAGTTTCTTCCGAAGAAGTTTATGACCCGCTAGGTGGTAAAATGAGGTTCTATTCAGGAAACAGACACTGATCCAAGAACTTGAATTTAATGTTGAATCTGGAGGTTGGAGAGTCTCTAAAAGAAGGTGAATTAGTGGGAGTTACAAAGAGATTGTTTTCACATTGGTGAGGAATATCTTCAGAGAGTTTGTACCATGACAATGAAAAGGGGAAGAGCAGCAAAGAGGAATTTATCAGAAAAATTTGAATCTGTAGGGATCTGATTGGACTTTTCCTGAGCGGAAGATTTTTGCTTTCATCTGACATGTAAATGATGCCTTCTGAAAATATGTCTGCACAGTGTCTCTTTGGGAACAGGAGGACATTAGGAGTTTGAAGATGAAACAATTCCCAGGAGAACAAGAGGCAGAGCGAGTGTCTTAATGTGGAAGATGATTGAATATTTTTACTCTCCAAAGTTCTGTAGCCCCTTCAGATTTTTTTTTCAAAATTTTCCTTCCCATTTGTTTTTCTCCAACAAGCAATAAATACCAGTGATTCTAATATTTTGTCTCCAGGATAAGCAGCCTCAAGTTCTTTGTACACCCCAGTACCATAATTGAATTGGTTCATGTTTTTGTTTTCTTGTTTTGTTTTGTTGTATTGTTTTCCATTAAGAGTGGGAGTAGGAGATGTAGAGGAAGTTGTTTATTACAAATTATACAACTTTTTTTTTTCAACAAAAGCTTTAGGTTTGATAATGACCGTCATCTGCAAAATATTACAGTATTTTTGGAAAAGTGTAACTCAGTCCTCACTCAGTCCTAGAGCTATCACAGTATAGCTTATTTAGCATTTTGTTTTGTTTGTTTTGTTTTCCTTATAGGTTCCAGCTGGGACTGGGATGTTAAAACAGCATTCTCAATCAGAAACTTTCGTAAGGACTTCCAGCCATGATCAGCTGTTGGCAGAAATGATGCAGTCCCACATGGTTAAAGATATGTGTTTAATTGGAGGAAAAGTAAGAATTTAAATTTGTTTTTCCCTCCTTTCCCCATGTTCCTTACAATGAAATCTTATTTATTTATCTATTTATTAACTCTTTAGGGCTGTGGCAAAACAGTTATCGCTAAGGAATTTGCTGATATACTAGGATACAGCATAGAACCTATCATGCTGTATCAGGTAAGTAAACTATTGGTTGATGATCATGCTGTAAATATGATCCAAAACTATAACACACAGATTCTCTGTGTAATGTCATCTTCATATACAGCTGCAGCTTTTAAAATCACTGATAATCATCAAACACGTTAAAAAATAAAAGAGGATGGAAAAGACTTCAAAGAAAGCAAAGTTTTATGATCATTTTAGAGCATTTTTTTAGTTGGTTAGAATGCTCATCTAACATTTTATTGTAGACCTAATTAATATAATACATATTAATTCAACGTTATTACATATAAATTAGCCCTGATACTCTTTTACTTTAATTTTTCTGACTTCATTGGGAATACAAAAGAAAGATACATAACTTAAATGATTCTCCTTATGTTTTGTTTATTTATCACAGTGATCTTTCTGTTAGCCACAGAGAACTGACATTTCGTTTTGTGATTTGGCATGACTGAGTGTCATAAAGAAAACTTTGTCCTCTGTATCTTCTTCTTTTCAGATCTTTTTTTTTCTCCTTTTGAAGTATGTTTCCTGCCTTTAGACCAGAGTGGTGACCTCTTGTAATTCATGTATATTGGAATTCTCTAGAATACCTATACTTTTTTTCTTTTTTTTTTCCTTATACTATTTAATTTTATAATGTATCACCATGATTAAAACTGTTTTTTATTGTTACAGAAGACAGCTTCTTTACTGTATTGAGAATACAAAAAGTTTTAAATCCTTCTCAGGAATTTTTTATTTTTCACATTCTGTAGGTTTAGTCTTCAATTTATTTTAATTTCTTCTCCTGTCTGTGTCCTCTTACAAGTTTGTTTTTTCTGGTGCATATCATGTGGAATTTTAAACAATATTGTAATTTCTGTGCCTTTCCTTTTTTTTTTGCATTTTTGCTTAGCCTGATGATTACAGTTGTGGTGGGACTGCACTGCAGTAGAGAAGATGGTGTTTACATGTGATATACACATATTACATTGAATTAATATTAATGATGCTCATTATTTGTCAGTGCTATAGCAAACTAACAGTAATCTTCAAGCTCTTAGCCTATCTGTTCTTAATTTATTTATGTTGTGGAAGGGGCCTTAGTATAGATGTAGCTTTAAAAATGAATTTTGGAGAGGCGTGTTTATATTTTTCATGAGACACACTGGCTTAGTTGCCTTAGAATGGCAGTTATGGGATAAAATGATGAGGAAAGAGCCTCCTCCATGAGCTTTGAAGGTGGTGACGAGATTATCTTACTGTAGCTGAGTTGAAGGAAGAAATTTACAGTAGCTGAAAAGGCAATGGCAGAGCGAACGTTTTTACTGAGTAAAATTTAAAGTTTAGTATTTACAAAGATAGAAAAAGCAGGAACGGTTCTAGACAGATTGGGCGTACAGATTAAGGGAATTAAGTTTTTTGGAGCTGTCAGTTGTCTCGGAGTATGATAAATGGGGAGTGGTGGGCATGCTGTACATTTAGGGTTTTTTTCCCCTTGGTTTCATCCAGACAACACTTCAGACTGTCTCACAGCACCAGAGTTTTTTGAAAACCCTGAGGTCTGTCCTGCGTAACAGTGATCTCCTGTAGGCAGTGGCCACTTGGTACTTGTTTGGAGAGTATTGTTCAGTCTTAGATCTTGGTGAACTACAACCTCATGACATAAAATAGAAAAAAAAAAAAGAGATTGAAAAGTGGAGTGACTGAATTTGATTTTTACAGTAGTGATCATACATGCAAGGTTTTCTTTATAACCTTGAGTAATGAAACTGCTCTCAAATAAAATATGAGGTCAGGGGTATTCCATGACCTTGGGAGCCAAAATGCACCAAATATGACTGCAAAAGGGTTTGCAGTCATAAGTGATAATAGGCAATAATGTAGGGGAACGCTAGTCTGAGATGTAATGCAATATATTGGTCTCTTTCTTCCCTTTCCTTTGCTTATTTAATTTTTTCCTGGGCAGCACGGAGACCTTCAAAGGAGGACACAGCAGCTGATCTGGATTTGCAATGGCATATAGGGAGAGAAGAGACGCTGACTAAAAGGGGTGGTGACACTGAAGGGTTGAAACAGACAAAAAAGAATAGAAAAGAGAGATATTAATGGTGATGAAAGAAGAAAAAGTCCATTTTATGTTTTCTTGAACTGGTGAGAACCTCTCTAGACAGGATCCCAATGCTTTTCCTTCCTCAAGAATGCCTTTAGCTTATAAAGATGCAGGCACTGAAATGGTCTGCATAAATGGAGCTCTTTTTTTATGCCTTAACCTGGCCAGCTGTGAGCACATTTGGGATCCAAAGCTACACAGCCCATCAGTGCTAGGTTGTGTTCGTGGTAATACATTTGGCTTCCCAGCAGCACCTGTTACCTCGTGTACAGTTGAATGTTAAGACAGGTGCATAACTTCTGGGTGAGAACTGTGTTGTACTTCTCCCTGCACTTATCCACATAAACATATTTTTAAATCGCCTCAGGAAAAGAACTTTTGCACCTCGATAAACCCACTTAAGGACAAACACACCCTAACCCTTGTTTTTTGTACACGGTGTGGCATTGGGTACTCACCAGCAAAATTAGGCAATTATTTGGTCCTACAAGCTTAAAAATATGGCCACTATCTTTCAACATCCTACCTCTAATTAGTATGGCTTCACTGAATAGGAGCAGAAGACTCCCTTTTTGGAGATGCATGATAGGAGGAGCTGCTGAAGAAATTGGTTACTCACTAAACATCTTTCCTTCAAAGGGTCTGTAATTCCTACTGAAATAAAATCTAGGTCAGGGATTTGAAGCACTTTCTACTGAAGTGAACCTTTCCTTTGGTTTCACCAGAATTTGATCGAGTTAAAAGGGCAGAGAGTTTTCATAGAGGCTTTTTGGTGATACAAAACATCATTGCTAAGGCAAAAGAAAATGAGTATTTGTGAGCTCAGCATTTGGTATAAATTAGAATTTATATTTTTATAAAATATTTTTATATTTTCGGTATAAATTATAAATTGTGTAGACATACACATGTCTACACAATGTCCAAATGTGCGTCTATGCGCGTATCTATTTCCTATGTGCAGTGTCTTAGAAAATCTCAGAAGTTTTTACAGGAAGCCATGTGTAAAATATGATTGCAGCTGAGCCGTGCATCTTCTGTTATATTCTAAGGATGCTTTTGTTGTTGTTTTGATGTGTTGTTGTACACATCGGTGACTTCGCACAGCAAAGTAGTAGCATAGGTTAATGACAGGGGCAATGTTAAATATTAATTCATACAGTAATTGATAATGAAGGCAATGAGAAGTTTAATGGAACAGATTTCTCTATTTTACTTCAAAAAATATCTTTCTGGTTCTTTTGAGAGAGACCATATTGTGCTAATGTTTGATTCATCCTTTACATCCAGTGTTGATTTGAATAGTGTGAAGAGCCTTAGGTCTTTCTATTGATTTCACAGAAAAATCTCAACAGCTTTTATGTCGTGAGGTTAGAATCGAATGTATCTAAACCAAGGGTTCCTAAATGTTTTGAGCACATAGATTATCTCTAACAGTTGCCTCACTGAACAATTCTTGTCTAATTCGTGATCTCTGACATCCTTATACAGATTTCTGATTATATACAATCCCACGTAGGCAAATTCCTGCCAAAGAAACTCATCCTGATTAGGAAGGATTTGTTTTTAAGTTCTCCTACTGCAGTTAAGGAACAGCAAACGAAAAGCAGCAGCCAGCTAGTTTCATGTACTGTAGCTAGAGAACTTTTGTTTTAAATTGTTTAAAATAAAACATTTTGCTTTTATTTTTATCTCTCCTCCTAGATTTTTAGGGCTAAAAAAGCAATATTCAAAGCGATGTTACAACAATTTTCCGTCAACTTGCTCTTCCTTTCTCTCTTCCACAGCAAAAGCAATCTTTTAAGTACATCACTTGTGTTTGTGTACTGTGATGTTTTTGTTTCTAGGATTTCTTTTTTTTTGTATGACTTCATAATTGTTCTTTACAAATTCCTTCCAATTTTTTATTTGAGAAATATTAACAAAATGTGAGTCCAAACTGGCATGAAAAGCAGGAAACAGAGCTTTTTCACCTCATAATTGCCAAGAACATGATTAGCACGGAGAACCGTGGAAAATGGCTAAATGGGAGGCTTGGATTGCTATAGCTGCAAAAGGGAGGAAAGCAGTTACCCTGCTTGTATTCTCTCCTGAACTTCCTTTTTTCCTGGTATATGAGGTATTTTAGAAAGTAACCAATGCAATAAAGCATATGCTGAGTTACAATGACGGTTAGAAATGAAAATAAAAATTTTGTTTCATAAGGCTGTATAATTTTGCAATTGCTTTGCTTAAGTGGTGGTGGAGGAGTGGGGTTGGGTGAGGAAGTGATTCATACCTTTCTGTCATCTCCCCTCCAAAGGGAAGAATTTCTAGTGGCAGAATATTATCTTTTTATATCTCATAACATTACATTTATAATATTATGTATTAAAAATAAATTTAGAGTAAATAAATAGAAGCAGTAAATTGTTGCCATTAAAAACGTATTTGATCTTGGAAGTCTTTTCCAACCTTAATGATTGTATGAAAACAAACCCCTTACAGAGCTTGGGCAAGCGTTAAGTTAATGATGCTTCATTTCAGTTCATCACTAAACTGAACCTAATGGAGCCATTTAAATAAAGATATAAACATTCATTTTATTTCAAAAAATATTTTTGCAGCAAAATACACTTATGAGTTTATCTTGAGAAAACTAACGCGTGGTTCTCAAGCTGCTGGAATTACAGATAGACATCATTGTATATAGCATATTAGGCTATAATATATATGCTGATAATTCATACTGGATGCTGTTTCATACCTGTAGAGGTGAATTGTCAGAAGGTGTGTTAGTTGAATATTCAGTTATACAGCATTTGCTAACTACAGAGTGCACACTTCTGATACAAGTCCTAAAAATACTCAGTTTTTTCTCTGGCTTTCATTAAAAGTGGCTTACTTAGTCTACGAAGTCACTAATAAAATGCACAAACAGTAGAATGCACAAACAGTGCATTAAAAAACAGAAGTATAATAATAAAAACACTGTCTGTTTTTGTGCATCTGAATATGAGGCTCTAAATTATAAAAATTATACTGAAAGAATCAGACTTTGTCCTGTTATTTTAAGGCTTTTAAGGAAATGCAGAAAGAGGAAATGATTCAGGCCATATGATGTAATGTATTCTATTTTTATTCTTCAGAGGGTTTATAGTTGTGAAAAGGACATATGCAAAAGCTACAGCTACAATAGCAAATATTTTTCTCATCTGATTTTAGGTTAAGTTCTGTTCACAGCACAGACTGAGGAAGGAATTTCATCTTTCAGGCCACAAAATTGCTATTACATCCTTGTTGCTGTAGTGCATACCTGTTGTAATGGAACATTCAAAATATTTATACTGGAGGCTATACGAGATTTTGTCTTTGGTTGCAATTTATTCCCCAAGTCTTACTTTGTGATGCTCTACATACTTTTGGTATTGTGTTTGTTACTGGCTCCTTTCTTATCCTGTCCTTTCTTCTCTGACGAGCTTCCGCTGTACTTTTCTTCTAAGAAGTACAATGTCATGCTCTTTTGTGTTATGATGTTACTTTAGGATTAATGATGAAGTCTTTGCTCCTTCAGGCAATTTCTTCTATATAAAATGAATGACTTCTGTTTGCGCCAGGTGTAACTTGCTGCCCCCTTCTGTACATGAAACTGTACAAGTTCTCATGAGCTCCCATTACATTTAAGGCAAAAGGAAAAAAAAAAAACACAAAACCAAAATAAAATAAAAAAGGCTTTTTTTCTAGTTTCAGAGGGGTCAATGAGGTGATACTGGCAAGCCTAGAACTTTCAAAGACTGTTTAACATAACACGTGTGTGAATGTTCGTGTGTGTGTGCATGTTTCTAATACTCTTTCAAAAAGTAATTGGAGATTTCCTGCTAATCTTCTTTGGGTATATTCTCAGGAAAAGCAGAATGTAGTTTTATAAAGAGAAAGCAGGTACCTGTAGAAGAATGCAATATGGTATAAATATATTATTCTGATGAATTGACAGGACATGACAGCCAGAGATTTGCTACAGCAGAGGTATACTCTTCCTAATGGGGACACTGCTTGGAGACCATCGCCGCTTGTTACTGCTGCCCTGGAAGGAAAGCTTGTTATTCTTGATGGCATTCATCGAATTAACCCTGGCACTCTAGCTGTACTTCAAAGGTCAGGATACGAGCATGGATAAGTTGCATGCACATCATCTGCTTACTGAGCGCATGCCTATTGAGAAATTAAGATTCTTATGGTGAATATGAGTTCATAACTTTAGAATACTGTAAAAATCAAGATGAGCAAGTTTGATAGAACATATTCAGTCCTTACATACATGAAAGCAGAAGCAATTCTTTAATGTTCTTTAGAAGTCTAATAGTACAGAAAATTTCAGCTCTCTGTAAATACAGTGTGTAAGTCTGAATTGAAGAATGGTTTTACTCTACACTTATCAAATCTAAAAATCAGTAATATTTACACGATGATTTGAAAATGCAAGATGTCAGAAAATATTTAAAATACTGTGAATGCATTCTGCTGCTAAATAAAATGCAATCATTAGTTACATGTAAAAGCACTCTTTATTTTGATTGAAAAGAACTCCTTTGAAATATTATTTCACAATTCAGTAAAAAAATAAATTAAACTTCCCAGAAGCAAAAGTAGTAATATCAGATACTATATTAATAATAATCTGTAACATCAGGTCAAATATTTCTTGTACTTTGTTGACCTGAGTTGTGTAATGCAATTCATAAACTTACAGGACATAATTAGCTTTAAAATCAGGTTGTAGCAAAAACATTTTACGAATTCGATTATTGTATATATACAGAGGAGAGTAGGCAGAAGAAAGAATGTTAGCCTGTTCTTTCTCTTTTTAAATCAGTTTATCTTTACCTTCTGATTTTTCTTCTAACACATGCATGTGCTGTATCTAAATACATATAATCAACGTCTGCATTAAAAAAAAAAAAAAGCTGTGTCTCTATGTATATTACTCATTAAAACCGATTGAAATATGTTGCTTCAGGAAACAAACCAGAAGTATATTACTTGGTACCAGTATGACTAAATGGCTGTTTAATGCCACTTAATTTGAAAGATCTTTTTTTCTTTCATTTTCTCATTATTTTCTATTTAATCCAGGTTTACTAACTGACTTTGCATTGAAACTATTTACTAATGCAAATTACTTTATCTTCACACCTGGATGCATCTTAAACTGCTATAACTTCTTTTTTACAATGACCTGTGTTAACTGAGGTAGCTTTTTTTTTTATTAAAAAAAGTATTCGTTGAAATAAGCATTATAGAAGGAAATTAAAGGCTAGATAAAGCTTATCTTTTATTTTCAAACAGACTAATACATGACAGAGAACTGACCCTCTATGATGGCACCAGATTATTAAGGGAAGACAGGTATCAGAACTTAAAAGAAGAATTACAGATCACTGATGAGAAACTACAGGAAAGGTAAAGTGTTGGCTATAGAATGCAAACAGCTTTTCATCCTGTAGAGCACTTAATCTCCTTTATTTTATTACAAAAACATCTTGCAAAATGCTTCCTTCTTAAAATGATACCTTTTAATCACTAAGAGGGCATACTTTAAATGCCAGTTTCCTCGTGATGGTTTGTTGTTTGGTTGTTGGTTTTTTTTTTGGCATGAGAAAATTATATCCTGTTTAGAGTGCTCAAACTAAGAGAAAATCATTAAATATCCTTCAACAGGAGGGGTTAGAAATTGAAGGAAAATGGTAAGTACATAAAAATATAAATGTAAAAGAATATAATTCTTAATTTTGGAACATTTTATTAACAGCACCTGAAAATAAAGCTAAACTGAAATTCAATATAGCTTGTTACTTCCTTTTTCTTCATTAACTAGAAAGCTGGTATTTAATTTACAACTAATATGGAGCAGGAAATCCTAAGGATGGGTTGGGACCCATTATGCTTATGCTTTTTGTTTCTTCACTTCCAGTTGTCTGCTAGAAACATTCCACAGATAGAAAAGGTCTCTCTGATTGCCACTCCTGATACATAGTCAAACACTGATGACAAATTGCAGTTACTGGGAAAGATACTGTAGAGTGTACTCCAAGACAAATACAATCTAATATTCAGACATATACAAAATAAGCAGTATCTAAGAAGCTAAACATACTGTGTTTCTTAAATGGCTCAAATCTCTGAAAAAAAAACATTTGAAGTGTCAGATGACTGTGTTCACATTTACACTGCAAGCTGTGTGTGCTCCCAAGCTTTCCAGAGACATTCTCAGTTCTGGTAGGGATGCGCTTGTGATGTGCAACCTCTTCATATGTACCACCCCCTGTTTCTCTTAATTGTCATGCTCAGTACAATTTTTTTTCTTTGATCTTATTCATATTCTACCCTTTAAAACTACAACTTTAAAAAAGTAGTTTTTCTTTTATTGCATAGTTGTTTTGCTATTTCTGGTTCCCCTTTGATCTAAAATACTGCACTGTTGAGTTTTGTGAGGGGGTGTGTGTTTTTTTTTTGTTTTGGTTTGTTTTTAAGAACCTCATTTTAAATTTAAAGTTTTCTTTAACATTTATTTATTTGTTAATTTTTGGAAGATACGATGTAATCTAAGCCTGTTTGTTGCTACTTGTATACAGACTGCTGCAGCCATACACCTACCTAGATGGGCATTTCCAGCATTTGTTTCATGAGTAAAGAACTATGTATCAGTGAAGTGTTCATAAGGATTTTAAGCCCAAACTTTGAAAAGAGAAGCATAAAAAAAATATCTTAGGATCCATCTTGTCATTTCATCCTGACTTTGTGTTCAACTTTGTATTTCAATGTAGATCTACTGAAATATTGTGCACAGCTTTTTGCTACTTTGGAGGCCCCAAGAGTCCTTTTTGGTGTTCCTCAGTAGAATGTCCCTCTTGCCTTCAGATCACAATGCATTGCTTTTACCTAGCCTTTAGCTAGCCTTTACCTAACTTTAAAAAGTTAGCCTTTTACCTAACTTTAATGTTTTGCAACAGAGAGTTTATTGTGGATTGGTAAGAACTAAATGACCTATTTGACTGACCATGAGCTTTCATTCTAAAAGAGGGGTGACTTGTCTTCACTCTACGGAAGACAAGTTAAAGTAGTGCAAAAATCTTTCAGCTTCTTTGGTTTGGCTGTGGTCTTCAGTATCAGTGGACCACTCATCTGTACAGGGGGTGCTGTACTGGTCAGATCTTGAGGAATTGAAGGTGTTTCAGGACCTGATCCTGTACCTAATGTTTTTGGTCTGTTAATGTATTCTGCAAACATCACTACCTTTCACTTGCTCCAGGCTGTGATGTCAGGAGTTGTTCTTTGATTCCAGCACTGCAATCCTCCCTGCTATTCCTCCTTTTCAGCAGCAGTTACCTGTCACTGTAAGCTTCGGTACCTTCCAGTGTCGCAGAATGGCTGTGCAAAGTGAGGTGTTCTTCCCAGACACCTTCTGATCAAATGTTATCTGGGTTCTGACAGCTGATTTAATCACAGTGCAAGAAAACAGGAAGGCGCAAACCATCCATCATTCGCCTGCAAAAGATTGCCTTGTGGAAATAGTGTATAGAATACATTGCACCTTGAATTTATGAGCAAATTGCCTGGGCAGTTTTTTGCTTCCAAGACGTGACTGGGAGTTGCTTTCCACACTGATGAAAAATACGATGTATTTTGCTGTGTAATAATGGCTTCGACTGGGTTTCTGATACTAAAGTTACACAGAAAGAGTTTTATTTATCCAGATTTTCTGAATTGGACTGAAGTAATTTCAGTACAATTGCTCTTTCCAAGGCCTGCAGAATATACGTTGTCATTCCTCTTTCTGCTGGGACTTAATTTGGGTTGTTTGCTGAGTGGCACGTGAAAACTTCTGTTACTCTTCCAATAAGGATTTCCCCGTGGAAAGTGGTTTCAACTTTTATTTGAACCAGAAGTCTTTTTTTTTTTTCCTCTCCTAAATCTCGCTCAGACTTCAGTTCTCATTTATATATTGGAAATCAATATATGCTTTAAGTTTGGCATACAGCATACATATTTTAGAGTTAACAAAAGTATTTTTTTCTTTTGTTATTAACGTTTTAATATCTACCCGATCTCACAGGGAAAGGTAGTTCATAGGAGAAACAGTGGAAGAGGAAAACACGTACTGAGAGGTACAGCAGTGATTTAGTGGAAGTGCATTGACAGAGTTTTAAGTCTCTGAACAGTCAAGCAGGGCCTAAATGAGGTAGCTAAAAATAGTCATAAATGGAGGAGATGAAAGAATAAGATAAAAAGGAGTATTTCTGAAGGACCAGGATTTGAAGAAAAGAAGGCAAATGCCTCATTAGGAGATCATTAGATTAGGGGAGGGCAGGATTTGAGGAAAAGCACTGATTAGGGACTGGAAGATGGCTGTGATAGCGAACTGGTACTTTCCTGCTATCTCTAAGAGAAACTGAGTACATGAGGTACATGCTCCTTTTTTTTTTTTTCTTTTTTTTTTTTTATTAACATCATCATTACTGTGCGTGTGTGCATGAGACAGAATGGTGTGGGGTTTCTCTCTTCTGCACTACTTGCAGTTATTCATGAAATACAAAAAACCTAGCTGTTCCTCTGTGTTGCCTCAATTAAAAACTGACAAATGAGGTGACCAGATTGTGAGTTCCATACATGCAAATATATCTTTCATAATGGAAAAGAACAGCTGATGATGATTTTTAGTAGACTACTAGGGCTCAGATTTTCATAGAAAGTCAGTTTTCAAGTTCCATTCATAAAATGCTTCATAAATTCATAAATTCCTAATTTCAGGAAATTCATGAATTTCCTGATAGATAAAAGGAGTACTGTTCTTAACCAAGGAGATAACATTTCTGTAAACATTTTTTTAGTGTGTGTTTATAAGAGGATTTGAAACACCTGAAGATTTTTCTGGTAAAAATTCGAGATGTTAATGGAGAAGTTCTAGGGGATCCCCTTTTCAGTGCAGCAAGATAGATTTTTTACAAAGCTTTCATGTCCCTGTATGAAAATGATAGAGCAAATAATACAATTATTTTTCACAGTTTTATTTCCTTTAATTTTTAGTGTTTCAACAGTAATGATACTCACAGATTTTGCAGCATTCTTTTTATTCTACTACTACCTATATCACTTAATGATAAATCAAGAGGTTAGTATTTCAGACTTTCAAGAGGATAGTATTTCAGATCGCAATATGGCCAAAGGAAATTACAGGCCTCACATCATATAGAATGTGAACAGTATTATACTAAATAATATGAAAGTGCTTCAACTATGGCAGTGTTATTAGCAATGTCAGACAAAGGGGAAAGTATTGCTTGCTGTTCAGATTTGTTTTCACGTTTTGCTGGTTTTAATACCATTTTTCATAAATCAAATTTCTGACAACTTCATTTAAAAGTATGACTATCTCTCTAAGAGCTAATAAAATACATTCTTTTTTAATTTTTTTTTTCATTACTGACTGTGAGTTATATGTTCACAGATCATTTCATTACATTTCTGTATCTGTCACATCCACTAGTATTTTCCTGAGAAGGGCTTCAGACCGGTGGGTCAATAGCTCTAGCAGGAATGACAAGGGGAACTTGAGTATTTTTGTTTATAATTTAGGGAGAAGAGGAAGAAAAAAAAGCTGCCCCTAAGAAACTGACAAATGGTCTAGATTATCTTAGAGGTCTTTTCCAACCTAGATGATTCTATGATAGAAGGAAATTATAGCTGTTGATTACTTGTTAGTTGAATTATTGTATAAGAAAAAATCCATTCATCCACTGTGCATATCCAAGATTTCTGCATAGATCTTCTTATGAAATGAATAATTACATGTACTTAATTAAGACAAATGCTGTAGAGTGGCTTTTATATGGCTTTTACAAGACAGGCGGTGAGGTGCTGGTTTGTCTTATGAGGCGGTCTTTTAACCTGTTTGGGTGGATAATCCACCCACACTCCCAGCGTGCACACAGATGATAAGGCTTTGGTGTGGTGGGCAGAAAGCCATCTATCACAAGAAAATCTAGAAATATGTATATAATAAGAATTGTTCAGAAGCTCGTAACATATGTCTAGTTTTAATGCCCTGCAGGCAGTAGATTATTTTCCATGTGATTAGGTTGAAAGGCAACATATATAGTAGATGAGACAAATATAAAATGTGGCAGAAAGTGAATTTTGAAAACAATGAATGTTTTTAACTGCTTACATTTTCTAGCTTTTACTTTGTTCTTTTGCTATGCTTTTTTCTCTTCTCTTCTCTTCTCTTCTCTTCTCTTCTCTTCTCTTCTCTTCTCTTCTCTTCTCTTCTCTTCTCTTCTCTTCTCTTCTTCTCTTCTCTTCTCTTCTCTTTTTCTCTTCTTTTCTCTTCTTTTCTTTTCTTTTCTTTTTTTTCAGCTTAGTGGCTTTCCAAATAAAGTAATCTGTTAAATTTAGAATATTGTGAAATTGAAGAAAAATAGTAAGGAAAAAATGATAGGTCATTTGTGATCCTAGCATTACTACAACCCCTAACTCATAATATTGCTTTTATTTTGAAAGACTGTGAGATTTATAAAACCATGCTACAACAATAGACAACTAAACCCAGTTTGGTTTTGCAAGGTGGCATTAGGAATGCCATTCTGCATCGTTTTGGTTCTTTTGGGAACTTCACTTGCTTTGAACCATGTGTCAATAACAAGAAAATCTTTCCCTAAAACCATTCTGAGCAGTCTGCGTTCTGATCTTCCTCTTGAGCAGTGGTGGTAATCCTTGGTTGGAATTAAAGACTGATGTGAAAAGGACACAGATATTAGTACCAGAGAGCACCCTGCTATCTCTTTTATCAGTAAACATTTAATAGAAAGAGAAACAAATGGAGGCTCTCTGCACTAATCCACTAACACCAGGTTTTCCTACTGTGCTAGAGTTTCAATAATTTTAAAAGTGTTTTAGAAAAAGGTGGTTTTGTTTTTGTTTGTTAAAAAAAGTTTTTAATAAGATGCGTTTATTTGGCCTTCATCTGCAAAGTATACAAGATGTCAAAGATCTCTGTCTTATGAAATAAAGCTCCATATAGTAGCTTCATATTCTATTCCTTTAGGGACTTGATCTGTAATACTGTGGAGCAACTTTGAAGCTCCTCAATTGCTATCATGGATGGTTGGAACATTCATAGCATTGCAGGATCAGGTAGTTTATGACTTTTTTTTTTTTAAATAATACACTTACCTTGACATTTTTCAACATTTCAAACATCAGTGCAAACAACAGCTTTCGAAGTAGCCAGGTAGTTTTATCCATGTTTACAAACTGGGAAACAACAGCAGGGGTGTTGTGATCTGTCAAAACCTAGGGTGTACTTCAGTAGCTTTAACTGATACCACCAAATTAGCTTGCCTTTACTTCATCTCCTTTCCTCCAGCTTCTCTGCATTCTCTCCCTGCCTGTCCCCACCATACTCTCTGAATTAGGCGTTAATGTGGATGTGATATGAGAGAGATGTGTTTCCTTTACGATGGAAAGCTGATGGCTTTTTTGCTCTTATGGTATTGCAGAAGGACCAGAATTAGTCCTGGGAATTTAGGTAATTATAGGAGGGTTGTTTTTCTTCTTGGTAATGGGGGTAAAGGTGAGTCTGGATATGTATGTATTTATCCTATCTAGGGATCATTTTCTTCTATAATGAAGTTGGCCAATGTTCCCTGACCTTCTTTTATGCTTAGTGACGGTGACATTCCTATTGGTTCCTCTTTCATGTGATGTTTTCAGACATCTATTTCTATTTTTATCAGTCAGGGAATAGCTTCTAGGCTTATGACTTTCAGCTGAGAATAACTCATGCCACCCCCTGTGTTTGCTTTGATACAAGAGACTGTTTGCTGTAATGACTCTGTTGTATTTCATTGTTGTGACTAACAGATGAGCCTACTACGCAGTAGACTTGATAATTTATATTTAATGGTCATATTGTGTCTTAGGATTTTCTTGCTTATACACCCTCATTTCCCCCTCAGTTTAACCAGGAGGAATACTTGCCTCCAAGAGTTATGATTTCAAATGTTGTAATTTATATGGGGAATGGCTCATGATAACAGGCATATCTAACAATATAAGCTAATTCAATTTCACTTGCTTTTCTTTTTCCAAATTAACACCTGCTATTTTAATAAGTGCACTGAAAAATTAATTGTTGTAAACAAGGCCCTTCTTGCATAATTTGACTGTCTTTCATATCTGACTTGTTACTGTCTACTCTTACTTCTACAGATCATGAAGTTGTGCTGATGAATGAGTAGAAATGAATTCCTAATCCAAAGATATGATAATATTACATAGATAAGACAGGCAAAAGTTGTGAAAAACACCCAAGACAGAGGCAGCATTCTTCTACTGCCCTAACACATGCATCCAGCAGTGGTATATTTAAGCTTGTGTTGGTTTCAGTAAGCTCCCGTTATCTTCTGCGGAATGAAATAGGCAGGCATTTAAGAGACAGTTACTCACCAAATCCTACAGTGTGAAATTTACACAGTGAAAAGTGGATGCATTGCTACAGGAAGCTATGGAGACAGAGAGGATGATGAAGTTCAGAAAGGGATTAGACAAATCTAAGGATAAAAGGGCATTAAAACAAATAAAGATCAATCCCTAATATCCTTGAATGCATGATTGTGGGTGCTGGGAGAGTGCGAGGGGAATTAAATGCTGATAGTAGTTTATCACATAAGCCTTGAAAAAGGCTTCCCCAAGGAGCATCTCCAGCTGCCACCATCCGAGACAGAACATTTAGCTAGATGGATAGATTGAAGGACCCAGTAAGGTGTTTCTTAAATTCTTTAGATCTTAAGCAGCTCTTTGAGGGACCTGTTTCCCTGTGCTGTCTTGAAAATGAGTCAAAGGTGAGGTGACTGGCCTGGCCTTTGAAGTATAAATTTCCGAGATATTATGAAGTTGGGTGCATTAATTACACCCCAAGCGACTAGGTGATTTTCCAGGGGCTGCAGAGAATGTCAGTAAGTTCCTAAAGTGTTACTAAATCCATCTCTTTGTGATATCAAGGCCAATCTTCACAGTTTTTTCCTTTCTGTCAATCTAATCGAGTAAAAGAAATTCTCATTACTGCAGCTTCAGTAGATGATGTTCTCTCCCTGATTTGCCTGTTAGACATACTGCTTTAGGTAAAGCACTTCTAAAAATCTTACCAAATTACTGAGATGCGTCCATTTGGGATATAGAAACCAGTAAACCGTACCCTAGTTGCTGGTATCTTGCCCATCATGAGACATGCAGGTCATCAGCTTGCCCATCTTGAGACATGCAGGCATTTTGCAGATGAGAAGTGGAGACTTTGGGTACCCTTCTCAGTGTAGAGAAGTATGAGCAATTTACACAATTGCAAGTCATGTTATGCAGTCTTTGTCTTTTTTTATTTTTAATAAAGTTGCATTTGCAAATTATGAGAAAAGATATCGTGATATGGCTCAGCACACTAATATAATTCCTTTTTCATCTATTGTAAAAATAAAAATATTAAATTTGATATTTAATGCTTAGGTCAAGTAATGCATTTTATAAAACTTGTTTTGCAGGTCTATCTTTCCAATACACCCCTCCTTCAGAATAGTTGTCCTAGCAGAACCGCCTGTCATCGGAAGTAGTACCAAACAATGGCTGGGTCCAGAGTTTCTGACACTGTTTCTTTTTCATAATGTTCGATCTTTAAGCAAGAATGAAGAAATTCAAGTTATTAAAGAAATGGTAAGTACGTTCAGTATTTTAGGCACGTGCTGATTCTTGTTTACTGAACATGGTTATTTGCTATATAAAAGTATTTTGCTATGCTATTCCACTCCCCATTTCAGCGTAGCACAAATGAGTCTTCATTTTCAAAGCCTGCTTATCTTTTAATGGTATTGGAATAAATTAGCATTCTTAAAATGATATTAAATGATGCTGTAATAGAAAAACATTGTCAAAATTGTATTCCTTTTTTTTGGTGACATAAACCAACTGCAGAATGTGTATACTCATTGCATATATGGCTAGCTGTGTATGGAACTTAACCCATCGTACGGTAAGATTAATACTGTTTTTGTTTCAAGCAGATTCCAAATGTACCCAGTGCTGCTGTGGAGCAGTTGTTGTCATTAACACACAAGCTTCGGGAGACAAATGATGCCACAGTGAGTACTCCCCTACCCCCTCTTCTTTTCCCCACAGATTTGATTTCTCCTACTAGGACTGTTTGCTTTGTTTTGAAGGAAGACTGGGTAAAGCTTTATAGCTATAGTGTTATTTTAGAGGCTGCCTTATTGAAAACCAGCCCCAGAAAGTTACTGCTGACAGTTACTGAACCGGATACTGTAACTTCTTTGATTTTTATGTACGCTTTTAGAATCTGCATAAATAAAGCTTTTAGGAAATCCCCCAAATCCTAGAGAAGAAAAAGCACACACACTGTCAGTGGGCTTAGATATGTGGTTTACAATGAGAGATGCTCGAGGTACCTTTTGGGTAAGTATGGAGATAATCATGTTTGTCCAAATATGTTTTGATTACTTCACTTCAGTCACTGGAACTTTGGTAGCTGTTATTATTGTGGCTTTTTCGGCAATGGAAACTATCTAGCCATTATGAAGTGCCAGTGGGCAACAGCAAAGATTAGCAATGTAAAAGGGAAATCTCCAGAATTCCTATCTGTGTTACTACTACAGGTTATTCTGTTAAAGCAGTCTTATCAAGAAAAATAAGTTCTGCTGACATAGTAACCACAAAATTCTCTAAAAAGATAGTCAAATCTTGGTGAAAAGTAGAAGAAATCATTGCTATGGCAACTGGATGCTTTCAATGTAACTAAAATGTAAAACATTTTTAGTGGAATCCAGCGGTTTAACTGGTATGCAAATTGTAATCTGTTCTGCTTATGTTTCATGGTTTAACATGGTAATAGTTTTCATAGTATTACTACTCAGGTAGTTGAGGGATATTGAAAGGCTGTTGTGCTCTTCTGAGCTTAAAAAAATAAATAAAAGGGCTGACTTTTAAATACACCTATGGGACAATGTTGTTATTAACATCTATTTAACTTTCTACACCTGATATTTGACAAATGTAGACTGAAAAAATGTAGTTTTGGGTATATTTGGAGACATACCATGCTTGAATAGAGCATTATAAAAGTGCTTTCCAAACATGTGGATGTCTATAGCATTGTAAAGTATCTAAATGAAGTGTATGATGTTGGATAAGAAGTGAGTCATGATACGGACCGAGGGAGGATTCTTGTAGATGAGCAGTGACATGAGACATGTCAAGAATAGCATGCCTGTGTGGAGAGCTGAAATATGTGCCTAAGGTATGTCAGGCTATTTTTAGAGTTGCCTAAGTAAGTAATCCTCTGCCAGAGATTATCCTGAAATATTAGCCATTGTTTCAAGTGATTTTGTTAACAATAGAAGAATACCTGTAACATATTCAGCCTGTGGGTGTATTTTGCGTCATTGTAATTGTTTGTTTGATATACAATAGAACCTAGAGACCACAATCAAGATCCTGTTGAATTAGATGCCTGATAGATATATATTACAAAGACTGTCACAAGGACTGTAACCTAATTTTGAGTTTACAGCTATTACGTATAAAAATCAAGAACAGGTAAGGAAGAAAGAGGACATTTTATTCCAAAACTTTAACTCCCAGTTGCAATATTCAGATGATGTGACACAGTTCCTCCTCTGTGAGCTTGTACTCTGTTTATTCCAGTGGAGGATCTGGTGCTATATATAATTTTGACTTTAAAATGTCCGTGTTCCTTAGAGATTGGAGTGGCATGGTGCGAGGCAAGAGTGTCTTCCTTATTCCTCCCACTTGGTGCAATGGATGAAGCATGCTACCTCAGTTACTCTGCTCAGCTGTCAATTTCCACCAATGCAATCCTGTAGGTTGTGACTTGGGAGGATTGCTTACCTTACAAAAACATAATTAGCCTGAGAATATTTCAAGTGTTTAAGATTCTTTACAAAAAATATAATCTCCCAAAACAGTGAGAGTCCTGACTGGTGAGCAGGGACGACAGGGATGCAGCATTCACCCCTCTCACTTGCCTATGCTTTGTTCATTGCTGTGTAGGTCTTGAGACAGAGATAACACTTGAAAAGCCATCATTTACAACACAATGTCTGTAATACTTGGTAGTAAACGATGATGCTTCAGAAAATGCTTCACAATCTTCGATCAATGAAAATAGGAAAAGCAAGAGTAGTAATTGAAGCAGTTATCCCAATCTAAACCATCCTAGCTTATTGCTCAGAGCTGAGCTAAAACATACTATCCTTTGCCTTCTTAGCTTTTGAGTTTTGCACAGTCTCGTGGAACTGATTGCTTTTATCCTTTCCAAAAAAATTAACATCTGTTCGTCAAAACTGCAGTTTTCCAGAGGAAAGAGTTGGTGATAACACATTTCTCATACTTAAAAATGATTAAGGGAGAAAAAGACTCTGAAATTAATAAAGTGTTGCCTTTTCTATTTTTTTCCTTGATTGCAAATTTGAGGATTTTTTTCCAATTAAAACAATATATTAAGAAATCGTAATGCAGTTAGAAATCATTTATATGCCCCAAAGCAAAACATTCAGAAATTACCTAATTAAAATATTTCGGTTAACCCAGGCAAAGCATGGCGTGACTTATCAGATCACACTCATTGTTGTGTGCTTCCTGCTAAAATAAGGAACCTGTTTGTATTAGATACCTTCATCCGGTATATGCAGTGAATAGAAGGATTTCTTTCTCGGTCGTTATATCTCTAAATAAATGGCCACTTGTTTGGGGGGCTTTGTTTGTTTGTTTTTACATTCTGCTGTATTTGCTTTAGGTCTGCCTTCCCAGGCACTGAATCACTTCTGTAACTCCTTACTGAATCATGTCCAATTTCTAGCATTTACTTTAACACATGGACAACAGAAAAGGACACAGTGTTCCAGTAGTGGCCCACCCAAAAGGCGTGTGCAGAGGTGATACAATCTCCTTACTTCTGTCCAGTGTTGTCTTGTTTATACATCCACGAATCCTGCCAGACCGTTTTGCCAGAGCATTACTTGCAGAGCTCATATTCAGCTTGCGAAGAGCAGATTATAGATTTTAAGACATTGGTCCTTCTACCATGGCTTATCTCCTTTTTATTATCAATACTGTTTACTTTTAGGTATTATATAGCACAGAAAATTAAGTTATCAGCATGTTTTTTCCCTGTTGCTTATCAAGTGAAATCATAAAGCAAATCTGTAGATAACATCATGATTTCCGTGACACTGAAGTGCTGCAACAAATACAGAATTACAAACGTGTGGATTCAAAAGCACACACTACTATAGGAGGCAGAAAGCACTTATGAATTAGGAGAAAACTTGAAATAATTACTTTTGGATTACATTTTTTCCTGACTCATTCAGTTTAAATCCCTGAGATCAATTCCCAGAGATGAAGTAATTAAACCACCTTGTATTTTTTGACAGGCACAGTCCCTGGCTTCATCTTTATCCACTCGACAACTGTTGCGAATTTGTCGGCGACTGTCACAACATCCAGATGAAAGCCTTTACTATGCTGTTAATAAAGCCTGCCTTTCCAGGTAGACGTGCCAGTATGGGTGGAAGTTCCAGAGTTCCTTGGTCTATTGCTAACATACAAGATATCTTTTAATGAAATTGCTCTTTAGCTTCTTAAATTTTGTCATTTCTTCAAAACTATTTTGGTGGTATTCTCAAACTTAAAAGCTGAGTTGAAATGGTTTTGTGCTGTTTTCTCATCTTTATGATGATGTTTAGTGAAATCATACAAGTTAGGTCACCGTTATCAACATTATTTCACTGTCTCAAAACACTCTGCTTTGAGTTATTTTATGTCTAGTATGGCTGGATGCTTGATGGAGTTTTGGTTTCAGTTCTATAAACTGTATATGAAATTATGAATGTAGTGTTTTGTTTTGTTTTGTTTTCCGTTCTTTTCTATTAAGGAAGGCAAATTTTAATTAACAAAAGGTTTGGAAAACTGATGGAGCCTCAGACTGTATGCCACAGAGCTCTTTATTTCACTTTAGAGCTCTGGGTTCATGGGAACTGAGTCAAGAGTAGAGGTGTTTCCAAATAAACATCGTTTCTATAGTAGCTCTTACTGGTAGTGGAATGAGGATATTACATAATTCCAGTCCTAATTCATCCTACGTTGCAGATTTTCTTGCAATATTCCGTAATACTGAAGCTTTTTATAATGAGCATGCAACTTATACGAGGGCATAGACATAGATATTTAAGGGTTTGGAGATCTAAGTAAAGCTTCATACTGGTTTTACATTACAGAAAATACTGAAAACTTGTAAAAAATCTTCCTTAAAAAATGATTTACCTCTTTTATTTCTTCATTTAGGTTTTTACCAAACCTTGCCAGATCGGCTTTACACAAAAATCTCCAGGATTCCGGTATTGAGTCAAGTCCAGATAGCACAAAGAAACTAGAGGAGAAGGATTATACTTGTAAGTTTGTGCCATCTTTTGTCCTGTTCTTCATGAATGTTACTCAGATAGTTCAGCATATAAATGTGTACTAAATGAGCTCAAAATAAATGTAGTTTGCTTCAGCTACACCCATTTGGCTTTGTTATAGTGGGAAGTAATATCTCCTTAGTATGCTGATACTTATGTACTGTCTGCTGCATTCCCTGCCCATGAAATTTAGTGCCCTTGACATGTTTAAGGGTTCCCCAGTCTAACAGATTGATGACTTCAGGCACTTGACCAGCTCTTGGACTTAAGTCGTTGTTTTGATTTGATGTTTTTTTATTTATTTACCTGTTTTATTATTATTATCATTTGTACTACTGTTTTGCATGGTTCATAGTTACAGCTTTGTTTTGATCTTAATCTTTCTATGTTATGTTCTTTACCATTGCTTTTTTTTATCTTCACTGGTAAAATCAACCTCTTTCTCATCAAGACTCTTGTAGGAGTCTTGGGTTGTATTTTGTTTTCATTCTGGTACATAATTCTTTATTAGTTTTTCTTCTTTTTTTAAATTTTTCTTTAAGTTGCTGTCACATATCATCTTTATCCAGCATGGCTTTGTTTCTTTACCTTCTGCAACCTGTATCCTTTTGAAGGAGCCTTCAGTACTTCACATATATTTCTGCTTCTGCCATTTTTCTTACTTCTTTCTCATTCCTGCCTGTCCTTTGGTCTTCATGCTAATTATGTAAGTTTTGATAACTTCCATCAGGTAGCACACGTTGAGTGATCTGCCATTTTCTGTTCACTAAACTTTTCCTTTCAACAGCTTTGATCTGTACTCTATCAGTATTATATTTGCTGTCATTTCTCTGTATGGACATTCTCAGTTTTCTGATACATTTGACTTTTATGATTTCAGGTAGATCTCTACAGTAGCAAACAAGTCTTTTGTCCGAATTAACATAGACTCTATTTTTATATTTTTTTTATGTAGGTGAAAAATAAAATAAAAAAAACAAACAGGCATAATACTGCATGAATGGCTGCATAGGTGTATGTATGCATGTCTATATGCATATATATCTCTGCGTAGGTATATATAATACTATGATATATAGAATACATGTGTTACTGATAATGCATGAATGGCTGCGTATGTACACACTTATAGCTGAATATATAAGATGTAATATTACATTATTATATCTATATTTGCATTATATGTGTTTATATATATGTATGTAAAAATTATTTATGAAATAATTAGAAATATTGCCAATTGCATTACACTATCTGCTTACCATTTTTTTTCCACCCTGATCCCTCCATTGAAATTTCTTCATGTTTCTCTGTCCGATATTTTAGAAGAGAACACATTATAATCCTTTTTTATTATTATATAAACTTAACTTCTGCTTTCCTAAGGAAGGAATTTATGGTTTTCTTGGTGTAAGAATTTGTTGTTTTTATTTTTAACTTTTTCTCGAAGACTTGAAGGTCATACCTTCAAGTGCAAATTTATTCAGTTTTCAGCAGGTGTTAAATGTGTCCACTTTCTAGAATTAACCCATTTGGTCAAAAAAGTAATTCTGGATGTGAAAATCAACACGCTAGTACTGCTGTGATGGGTTGGCCCCAGCTCTCCTCAGTCCCATCCACACGCTGTGTCTACTGAGACAACTAGAGAAAATAGAAAGAGAATAGAAGAGAGTGAAAAATTTGTGGGTTGAGGAAATGTGGCCTGACAAAGTTAGTGGTATTCCAATAACAAGAGTATGAAGTTAAACCATGGTAGCTGTCACAGCTCCTGGTGTACTTTATGATATTTTTTACATAAGATCACCTGTTCATCATTTATTGTAGTAGACTTCTTTGCAATTATAAAGAGAATTCAAATTCATTATAATGCAACCTCTTGTTAACAGATAATCTATCAAGCGTTCACTTTAGATAGAAGTCATTTACAGCAACCCACAGCCTTGTTAAAATTTGCAAACTTTCACTTGAAAGCATTGGCGATTGATTGCATGTCTGCTCAGAGGATGGTATAAGTAATGCATGTGCTTGTTTGTTTCCTGAAAAATGTCTAGGTGAAATAAATGATGGGATTCTGAAGATAGGATCTGTGACTATGCCAGTTTATAACCCAAGTGAGAAAATGAAAGTGCCTGATGTGTTGTTTTACGAAAATGCTCAAGTAAGTAGAATTTGCTGGCTTCTCAAGTACAGAAAGTTCATTAAATATGTACTAATGCACATATTCACGTTTATTAAATGATATACTAATTTTGAAAGTTATAATTCTGAAACAGCTTCTTTAGGATAAAAATTTTTCCCAGGGGATTTGATGCTCATTGCAGATCCATCTTCACTGTGTCCCTTTGAAGATGTCGTAGCAATCCCATTGAACATTCATAAAATGCGAAAGAACTTTGAGTGAACTTGAATTTTATTTAGAATGATTTGATAAGATGCTTTATTGAGTGATTTTATTGCTGCTGCTGACCTGATCGACTCTTGTGGCTGGGTTATTGATTCCGTCCTGATGGAGTGTTTTACAAGCTTGTAATAGGAAGTTTTGCAGGTCGGCAGTACCTGCCTTGTATTAGAATTAACGCTGTATGCTTGAAAAGCAAGATGAAGAGTAATTAGGGCTAGTAGTTAGTTATTAGATAATAATTATTTTATATAACTTGAGTTATTAATTAGTTGCTAGAGTTATTAATGTTAATTTGTTCGCAGTAGCAAAGAGTAAGAGCAATTTGTGAACACAATAAAAGGAAAGGGCTTGGTGACTTTTTTGTTTGTTTTAGTTCCACCCTCTCCCATGTTCCTTTTATAGAGGTAGGTGTACTGCAGCTGTCTTCTCCATCTAGCTTGTGGACCTCAAAATTGTCAGACAAGGTTATCCTTAGCCAGAGAATTACCCTTTGAGTGACTATGATATTTCACTGATAGCTTGTGAAGTATTTTTCTTTTTAGGAGACTAGTGTGAATCTCCCTACTTTGTGAATTTCCTTTTCTCTTCTGCTCTATTTTTTTCTTCTTTTCTTGCTTGTAATTTCTTCCCAGAAAGGCTATCCTTTCTGCAACATGGCTATCACCTACTGAAGGTGACAGGCCATGCAAGGAGAACAGATGACAGTCTTCTTCATCTTCCCCAGTAACATTTCATGTGAGATTTTGTTCTGTGTTGCCATTTCAGTAAAGTACTTCATCTGAGTGTGTTGGAAATGAAATGAAGTCTCACTAGGATTCATATATGCATTGCTTCTTCAGTCTTCTTGCTTATTGCTTCAGTAATTATAAATGAACACACTGAAGAAAACTGTGACTGATCTTATGCATCAGTTTTGTTTAGGCAACATTTGTTAAAAATGCTGCATAGAACAAACTGCTCTGTATCTGCCCCTGGTAGCAATGAATTCTGAATCCTAGAGGGAACAACCACCAAATACCTGTCAGAAGAGCTGTTCCCTTTTCAGAATGAATTTCACTCTTACGTTCTGTATTGCATGTTCCCACTGTAGTTCAGCCATTCAAGTGTGGCAGTGATTGTTTACCAAAACCTGCTGGAGAGCAAATTTGTTTCACAAGTCCAATGCAACTTTTCCTCTCTCGTATCTAAAAATTGCATCGATTTTCTTCTGTGTTGGTTTATTTATATCCCCAGCCCTTTGCCGTGCTGTACAATGTAATGAAATGCATAATTTTGGTCTTGAAGCATTACATGTTCCACTGGAATTTAGCATTGCTGCAGTACCTTGTAGTAAAGTTGTTCTGCAAGGAAACCGAGAATGTGCACGTATTTGTCCAATTCAGCATAAAACAGAAGTCATCTGAAGGAAATTCTCATGCTTTAGCAGTAGAATCAAAAAATGTAATCAGTAAGTGTGGTAAAACTGACTCGCTGGAATTTATGCTCTATCTGGTCAAAGTTACTCTCATCAGTGATAAATTGCTAGTGTGTGTGCTTTCAGAAAATACAGTAGTTTGCCTTGAGGTCTTCTTGAATTAATTGTATGTTGAGTGTTCAGTAGTCTTTTGACATGCCTGGGTAGGATTTTGTGGTATTAAGCTATGTTTACACGAGTTTCTTCCCCCCACCCCCGCCCTCCGTTCTGGAGAGATTTGGAAACCTGTAATATCTTTCACACAGTTGCAAACTGAGTATTTCTATATGCTCAGAGATTGCATGTGATGTACTGTTTTTTTGTGGGTTTGGTTTTTTCAAAATTAAGTACTAGAGATGGAATGATAATGTGGAAAAACTATGTTTATCTATATGTTTATCTAAAGGCAAGCATTTATTTCTCTAAGTAGCTTGTCTGACCTACTTACAGATGACCTATTTTCACTAGGTACAGTAGAGAAATATACAAGACTATTGCTAGTAAAGTAGTCTGCATTGCCACATTATCCTTAAATCCTTTTGATCCTTTTAAACAAATTATTTGTGAGGAGCATGATAAGGTTGAATTTTGTATAATGTGTGTTACATTTTATAATACTGGATATGGTAAAATAGATGTTGTATTTTGACTTCAGTTAGGCAGTCTAATTTAGAATTTGTAAGAAACACAATAAACACCTTTAGACTTGAGCTTGTGTTTTTCTGTCCTTATTTTCCTTGAAACTAAAGCTTAATTACGATAGGAAAGTGTGTTTGTTATTAAGCTAGGACTTGGTGTTTAACTTAGAAAAAAAAAAAGTATTTAACTGTACATATTCATGTCATCTCCCTTTTAATTCCCTGTTTGGTTTCTTTACAGTTCTACCAGGATATATTTTGCTTCCTGCCTGTAGAGTTACTGGAAAATTGTCATATGTGTATAAATGAAAGTTCTTATGCTCTGGGTGACAAACGTTCACCTAGGCTAAAAAGAAAATGCATTAGGAATGATTACAGAGAATGACACAGTTTGGAAAATCAAACACCCAGAATCGATCAGAGCAAAGGAAATGCAGAAGTGGAGTTTGTGTTTTTGTTTCATTGTTTTAGTCACTAGATAGATTGCTTCTGCTATTATTGGCTGAGAGGCACTGGCTGTGTAGTAAGTAGTGGTTAGTATAACTTAAAAAAAAAAGGCCCCAAATCTTTAAAGTTCTTGTTTACTATTATTATTAGGGAATATATACACTTTTGAGAGTATAAAAAGAAGAGTAAAAATCATGTTTTTATTTCTCTAGCACATGCTGGTAATGGAAGATATGCTAAAAGACTTTCTGCTGGGAGAACATCTTCTTTTAGTTGGTAATCAGGTGAGTTAAACATTTCTTACAACTCGTTATTTAATAATGAAATTAAATCTCTGTTTTGCTTCATTGAAATTGCATCCATTGGTACTACTGAGGTAATTTACATATTTTTGACTCTTTATCTATTAACATTCACTGTTTTTATGAGCACGTATTGGTGGAAAATGTAAATGCCTTAAGTGTTATTTTTTGTGTTTTGTTGTATGTTTTTACATTGCTGTCAGAGCAGGAGGACAAAATATTAATGGCTATGTATAACATCATTACCAATAAAATACTTGGTCAATTGCTTTGGTTATTCTTCATAGATAAGTAGCAAAACCTCTTCTTTAAAATTTCTAGTGAGGATAAGAGGTGTGGAATTAAGTATTATTCAAATGTGTTTTATCTTTATTGATTCAGAATACTGGTTTTCTCTAAGGTGATACAGATTCACTTTCTTCTTTGGTACAAAAAACCTTATTTGGTAAAAAAAATCTTCTTTTTGGTAAAAAAAATCTTCTTTGTTGTTGGAGACTGTATTGTTGAGATTGTAGAGCCTGACATTCTTTTAGTCAGTCACTGCTGTTTCGTGACACCTTCTAAGAGTTCATAGTCTCTCCAAAGTTAGGTATAGGCACATGTTCTCTTACTGGATATGTTTAAAAGTCTTTGTTCTTCAAAACCATCTTAAACTATCAGTGGAACTGTCAGATGACTTAAACAGAATTATTTGCTTTGCCAGTTAGCTCTAAAAAAGGGTTTTTGTTATTATTTCTGCATGTTTAAAGTGTTCAGGAAAGTGATTTCCCAAGCTACCAGGTTGATTTTTCTTCCCCTCATAAAGTAATCTTCTCCCTTTGGTTTAGCTTTCCCATAGCATGGTTACAGTAATTTTGTAGCAGATGTTTCTCTTTATGTTTTGCAATAGCCTTTGGAAAAAGTCTAACCCAAAGCACTAATGGTCTAACCTACACAGCAAGGAATGCAAAATGGTAATTGTTGTTAAAGTGCATCTATTAAAATTACGGCATATGTTTATGTGCAGTCTTACTTATTTAGAGTCCTTTTTAAGAGCTTGTATTTGAGATTTCATACTTCAAACCTCTGTAGACTTTTGCTGGATGATGCCAGGTTCTCCCAAAAGATGTCATATATTGGTAAATGAAATACAGATTTCATAAATTAAAAAGCAACACTCTTTCATAAGTGAAATATGATCAATTTTTCCTATTCCATTAATACTGCCACCTACCAAGTTGTTACTGAAAACGTTGTATAGTACAGGTTGCCTGCAGGACCTGCTGTCCAAGGTTCACAGTCCCACAGTGTCCAAGTGAGAAGTCTTGGGGACAGCAGCCAGGTGCCCGAGGATGCCAGACAGGTCCGCAGTGACGAGCCAGGTCTGAGGTCAAGTCAGCAGGTCTGGGCTGGGGACAGCAAGGTTCAGGGCCAGGCACAGCAGCATTGCAGTGTAAATCAGGGAGGAAATGAGGAAAAGCTCGAGTGTAAATGCAACTCCTAAACAATGGGGAGAAAGGGGATCTCAGTGAGGTTACCTGGGGCTCGCTCAGCAGCTATCAGAGCTGACCTCCAATACAGACAGCTAAGACCCTAGGTGGGGCATGGAAGAGCTTGTAGAGCCTGGTGGTACACTCAAACCCCTGACACGTTTCATATGTTGTACCAGCTTGACAAAAAATATTGAAGACTACATTAGTGTGATTTTTGTTTTTAAGGTATTTTTCCAGCAGAAGTATATTCATCTTTAATAATTTACTCTGTGCTGTATTTTCTTAAAGCGTACGAAACTTGTAATGGAGACAGTGTTAAAAGATTTAACCAGGTGGAAGGTTTGGAACATGCTGCTTTGATTTTAGACATCCGCTCAGTTCTGCCATTAAAATTGATTGGTTTGCTGTGATTTGTCCTTGGCAAATCTGTAATACTTATGGGTTTTACTTTTTAATTGCTAACATACTTTCTGAGTACATCCAGGTTTATTCTTTGCTAATTTGTTCCACTGTTTCTGTGTGTGACTGAGTTAGGCCAACTGACCTTTTTTTTTTTTTAAATACTGTTTTTAAGTTCGAGCACTCTATTTGCCATTTCACAGTCTTTTGGGACTGCACCAATCACCCTTGATTTTTCAGATGTTTACTAACCATTTAGAAATTGATAGGGTAATTCTTTAAGTATATTACTGAAAATTTTTGCAGCATGTGATGAATCCTGTACAAGTACTGCAAAAGCAACTATATGTTTTTATGTGAAGTGCACAAATATCTTCCCATTGAAGATAATACAGTTTTTATCCTCTTTTTGTAAATCATATGATTTAAAAAAAAAGCTTTTGCTGTTCAGTTACTTTAACAGTTTAATCTGTAATGAGAAGGTAGAATGTAATTACCATGTGCTTGATACATAATTCAGTGTGTACCTGTGTTTTGCATTTGGAAGAAAGAAATGCCGTTTTTGTGTGGAGATGCAAAATGCTGGTTTGAGTTACTTTCTGTTAATACTTCTTGTTGGTGAATGAGTAAATCATGGAAAATCAGTGTAAGTAACTGACAATTCAAATACTCTGAACCTAGGTCCTTCAAAATACATGACTAATATCCCTTTGAATGCCTGTGTCATTTCCTAGATATTTAAATGAGTTTGCATGTACCGTAGAATGTAATTTGGTCCATCAAAATTATGACTGCATAAGTGACTATCTCCTTTCAATTGCTAATAATTGTGCAAGGCTTGATCTATAGTCTTTCTTTACAAACTGGATTTGGTTTTCCTCTTTTACCTCCTTGATTTTGATAAAACATATGGGCACACAGTTTCTGTTAGCTTTAGCCCATTTTCTTGATTTCTGAGTTTATAATTGCAGTGTCTTCTGCCATTTTTTTAGTTGTGAGCTGACTGGAGAGAGTCCTTTTAACAGGCTTGTTTTCAGGATTTGAACTTTGAAGATTAGGTAGATGAAATTCAGTAAGTCAAAACTAAATGATCTTGGTGGATGTTCTCATCTGCCTTTCTTAATGAAGCCAAGGAGATGTTGAAGGCAAGTGTTGGGTGCTAACAAATCATTAGGAGTTCAACCTCACAAATAAATGACTTTATTCATATGTAGTCCTTGATGCCTATGCGGCCCGGGATTTTGCTGCATACATGTATTATGTGAAAATATGGCTTTGTCTAAATGTTTGCTTGCAATGCTTGTTGATTTATTTGGGTCGCAAACTGGAATGTGCTTCAATTTGATATATAAGCAAACAGGTTTCTTCAAGTCCTCGGGAAAGGCAGTGGATAGATAAGAATTTTCAGCTGTTGATTAGTTTTTAATAAAAGGCAATGCCAACATTTTAAATACGGTTTTTGATGTTACATCCAGAAACTGCCTGAAGTCTGAGTGTGAATGAGGCCATCCATAGTTTCTCAAAGCAACCATAAACAGCTTCTTTCTTGGCTGCGAGCAAGCAGCAGCTATTTATTGCTCTCAAAGCAATAGGCAGACGACCACAAGAATCCTGGTTAGTAAAGGTTACTTATTTCCAACTTCACAATGACTGTTTATGTCATCATTACCATATAGCTCTTACATCATTCCCTGAGCTTCATAGGACTGAATTATTTTTACCAAGGAAAACTTTCAGGCTATTTTGTTGGGATTTTTTTTTTTTGATGGACATTGTACAGATTGTGGATTGGCTACTTTTATAGTCTCCTTAAATTTCCTGCCTTTGTCAAATAGGAGATAAATTATGCTAATAAACAGAATTTGTTTATGTGGGAAAACTTGTAAAATACCAGTGGCAAAACCAGTTTTTTGGTCGTACAATTAAATTTTACATATAACACTTCCCAGAGAAGAGTTACAAAATTTTTGCATTTGGAAGTTGCCTCAAGAGAGGTGTTGGATGACCTTTATTGGTCATAGGTGAAGTCTTGGCAAACATCAGCTGTCTTTGAAGAGACCAAACAAAATATTCATAGTTCTGAGGGATTTCTGGCTTTCTGGGGAGAGAAGGCTCTGTGGCCTTGTCACTTCTGAAGTATTTTGTAACCATGAAGTACTGAAACACTTAACCCCATGTTAAACAAAATAAAATTATTTTATTTGACCTCAGTCTTTTGCTGTAATTTATAGTATGAGCTGTTCAGATAGCTGATCTCATAAATTGAGCAGGTTCTGCCATAGCAATGAATACTGAATATATCTGCTTTCACAGTTAGCATGCAGGAAGCATCTCATAAAAAAAAAATGAGTTCATTTTGTCCTTTACAGTTACTGTTTTATTCACTCTATACATATGGTATAAGTATAAATATTTTTAAATGACTGAAGTATGTAAACAAAGGCCCAGGTGTTCTGCCATACCTTGAGAACTACATGTAATCCCCAGCCACATCTTCATTAATGCTTCATTAACCCTTATCCATTCCATAATGGGTCTTTTAAATAATATCCTCGTTTTTTGAATTGTTCAAGAGAATGATTTAGTTTGAAACAGACCTCCAGGATCATCAAGTCTAACCGTTAACCTGACACTGCCAAGTCTACCACTAGGCCGTGTGTGTCCCTGAGCACCACACCTACAAGTCTTCTGCATACCTCCAGGGATGGTGACTCAACCACTTCCCTGGGCAGCCTGTGCCAAGGCCTCACACCCCATGTGCAGGCGATATTCTTAGGTGTGTCTTAAGCACTTCATGCCCCTCTTTTTGACTGTACCCTGCCAGCTTTGGTACAGAGTGCTTGTCTTGTGCACAGAGTCTTGTGCACTTATATCATGTGTTGTAGACCTTGCACCATTTTCAAAGTGTAAAGCATAGCAAGGAAAAGTAAGCATTACTGTACGTATTGTATAGACATTACCAAAAATGAAGAACTTTCTCTGTCAGTCTTCCTGAAGAATGGACAGAGGAAATGAAATATGCATTGGGACAGCCTCGGTGTTCATCAGGACCGTTCCCTATGTGACATCTTCTGCTTGCTCTTCTCTTTCCACAGTTGCCAGTTGCTCTTT